GAACAGCTGAGTTTCACTTGATATGGTCCACTCATGTACACAGTTTAAATCACAAATTATTGTCAGGTATCTATTGTCCCTCTATTGTCCATGTTAATCAATACAGTTTACCTCAATTATTAGCTGTGGGGAAGTTCTCAAACCTCTTTCCCAACTTTTAGTTTGGCACCTTCTGGAGGAATGAAAAAAGTGCACTGCAAAATTCAGTTAAGTATTTAATTTTCTAAAAGAGAAAATGCATTTGAATTTCATTTATCTAGAGCATTTTATGCCTTAAAATTTTTCCAGATACTCAGGTTTGTCTGTACTTAGAGTAAATTTTGAGGTGAAAATGCAGCCATTTTAACCAAAGGGTCCACATGAACCTTAAGGAGACTAGCCAAACCATTCAATGGTTATTGTTAAATGGAAATCACCCACTTCATTTGGACTCTGGTGGAAAGTTGATTCATTGGCAATCATACCACATCTCCTTATTTCATATCAAGTTATATAAATGTTTAACAAAGCTCTTTATCTTAGGCTAAAAATATTTCTTATTGTGTTTCCCTGTCCAGGCTTTAAAATACCTGCCATAAATTGTATTAATATTTTTTAGTTATCTTTTTTCCTTCATAACCCTTCATAAATCAGCTAATTGTGAAAAATTATGATCAGATGTAGATATGGTTGGTACCCGGTTAGTCTAAATGACCATAATCAATTAGAATGCTTGCTGTACAAATCAATGTTTGGTTGTATTCATCACATGATTTAGTTTCCATGTTAATCAACGTACCATATAAAACATTATTATACTTCCTGTAAGAATGCCCTTCTATAGTAAAATTGCTCTATTTTTGCACAGTTTTTGAAAGAAATATATAGTGTTAACTGCATTATGCGAAAATAGTATGCCTTGCTGTTGCAACAGACTATTGATTTTCACGTCAATCATTTTCAATTTCACGTGCAAAGGCGGAGCTTAGTTGCTTTGACAGACAAGTGGGATGGATTTATTAGCCTGACAATTAATTAACTATTACAATTGAACAATAAGGGGAAAAAAGTAGATATCATTTAAATTTTTCTGACATTTTAAGAGACTTTAAAATACTGTAGTTTCTGTTAGAACGTTTTTGTTCTTTGTTTACTTCTGCTTACTGCCGTTGAAGCCAAAATTGTTTGAATACTTTATAAGTCATTTGTTACAGATAAATAGTTATGATCACATCAATGTTTTTTTTGGTAAGTTATTAAGTACTATGGAAAATATTAATGAGAATGAAATGGAAGGGGTATGAAGTAAACCTTGTTTAGACAATATCCAAAATAATACCGGGAAATCAAAGCTATGACACAATGTCTTTTTGGTACTTTTTCATCTTGAAGTCAACATGAGTTCATGCCTTCAAAATTAAGCAAAATAAAGGTACCTCATAACAAGTTTAAGACAACCTCTAGCACCAGCTTAAGCAGAATTCTACTTGTTTAACTACTCAATAATGATTAATATTCAGAAAGAGTTAAAATCAATCATTTCACCTCAAAACACATACTTTTGAATCTATTTATTTGTAACTCTTTCTAACAGTAAAGTAGACAAAATCAACTTTCTTTAAGACAGCATATATATATGCAGAGTTACATAAAGGGCTTCTTTTCATACTATAAAGCATTTTTTTTACATAGAAATACACAATTAGCACTATTTGAAATAATAAACAGTCAGCATAATAATGATATTAATGTTGTGTTTAACATTGACTATGGAAAATAGTAGCCAGGGTGAGAGACAATAGTGCACTCCCCTTCAGGTTGTGCACTATTGTGTCTCACCCTGGCTACTATTTTCGCATAGTCAATGTTAAACATAACATTATTTTATAAATATTGGCTGAACATATGTACAAAAAAGGTGAACAGACAAACAAGCTAAGAAGATGACTCTAAGGAACCTGAATCCTTCAACTGGTACCTATACATCATTCATCTCTATAAGATGTTAAAAATAGCATGGTGATTAGGCAGGGGAAAGTGTCTTAAATTGCAAAACACCTCCTTTGGAAAAAAATTTCATTAAAACTTCTTGAGATGTTTCCTATTCCAAGTTTAACTTGGTGCTCCTGAATATAGTCATCAAATGAAGCCCTGAAAAGACTTTTTGATACCCTAATTAATATGATTACACAGACAGATACACTTTCAGTCAGGGAGATCTTACTGGATCAACTATGTCATCAAAGTGCTAAATAAACTTCAAATCTGCTGTTTACCAGTTCCCAACTTTTTCAGTAAAAAATTATCTGTACTGTCAGCTATTGCTGACTTATCATACCAGGACTCATATGTGATGAACATTTCATATTTGTGCATGACATTTCTAAAATATAAGTCTTTGGCAAACAGGTAGTAGAATATAGAAGGAAATAAAAATGTGTCTCACAGTATTGCATAACCAAATGGAGCATGTGTCATATATGAAGAAGCTATGACTTGTAGATGCTGATATAAAGGCAAAAACAATAAAATGCTTCGCTGAGCGCAGCCTGATACGACCGCAGAGGTCAAACCCTGAACAGTTGGGGCAAATTTGGACACAATATTCATGCTTGATACTGTCTGAATTTGGATTACGATCAAATTTTTGACATAATATAGGTTTCTGACACAAAATTAATGTGGTCAAAGATCTTATAAATCCATTGCACAATACTGTGCAATTAAAGATTTCTTCTTGAAACTTTTCAAAAATTTGAAATTCTAAAAATTTTGAAAAAAAAATATGAATCCCTTAAAAAATTGGGAAAAAAATTCCCCCACCCCCAACTTTTTTAACCCCCCCCCCCCCCTTGGAGCAATAACCCCAAAACTCAATCCCAGTCTTTCCTTTGTAGTATGGAACCTTGTAGTACAATTTCAGAGAGATCCATACACTTACACACATGTTATTGTCTGGAAACTAGAAAAATGCTTGTGTTTGGCCCTTTTTTGGCCCCTAATTCCTACATGTTTGGGGCAATTAACCCCAAACTCAATCCCATCCTTCCCTTTGTTATATGGAACCTTGTGGTACAATGTCAGAAAGATCCATACACTTACACACAAGTTATTGTCTGGAAACTAGAAAAATGCTTGTTTTTGGCCCCTTTTTGGCCCTTAATTCCTATAGTGTTGGCCCCATAACCCCTAAAATGAATCCCAACCTTCTACTTGTGGTATTAAACATTGTGGTACAATTTCAGAGCAATGGAAATACTTATACACAAGTTATTATCCTGAAACTAGAAAAATGCTTGTTTTGGGCCCCTAATTCCTAAACGGTTCGTACAATCATCCCCAAAATCAATCATAACCATCCTTTTGTGGTACTGAACCTTCTTAAAAAATTTCATAGAGATCCATTCACTAAAACTAAAGTTATTGTCCGGAAACCAATGTGTCTTCGGACGACGACGCAGACGATGACGACATCATACCATTATACGATCCCAAAAAATTTTTTGCGGTCGTATAAAAACGTTTTATGGAAAAACAGAGGTGAACTAGTGAATTTCTATCTCTGAAGGGGTTTAACAAAAAGTAAATAGAATAGTTTGATATCAAATAACAAAATAATGTTATGTTCATGTTATACATTTTTTTGCAAAATATGCATTATAATTGTGTCTCAACCTTTTATATTTCATAATACATATAAATATTCTGACATACTTCAATGCAAATGATGTTGTTTGTGATATTCCATTCTATACAAGATATTCTTTTAAAGTTTTAAACAAAACATTAAGATCACTGATTAAGATAATACAGTACATTCTGGTTATTTGCATAGCCTATTTGTCAGACAAAATTATGCAATAAAGCGGAGTATGCTTATATCCGAAATGACAAATGACGAAGTCAAAGAACATCGATAGAACAGATCAGTAAAGGAAATCCCTGAAGAAAGATGAACGTCTATAATCCATATTGAATGTTGATTTATTCTAATAAAAGTTATATGTCTATTGTCATTCATGTTATTTTATTTTGTATTATTTCAATAAAGATTATAAACACATTTTGTTTTAGTTTATTTGCGTACCGACGTTTCCTCTACCAGTTTACCTGGGATACGAAAATAAATTCATTCTAAAAATAGATTTGTTTCTATGACCCGTATGTACAATGTACATTGTTACGCTTTGATTAAAATAAACAGTTTAACAAAACTACACAGTTTATAATCATTTTAACAATAGATGTGTACTAAACTGCCTTTGATATACAATATTTACAGCTTGCAGAGTGAAGTAACACTGTTTATTTGTATATTTATACTAAAAATAAACATTCACATCTATTTAAACACTGCTATAAATCTATTCATTGCATAATTTTATCAAAACTTGTGGAACATACATGTTGATTGTATTCTACCATGATTGTCATCTCTCTTTTTCTTTTTAATATTACAAATAACAAACCTGTTGTTGCCTGGATACTTTTGCTCATTAAATACGACAAAGTATTACTTATTGCTTGGTAAATACATTCCAAAGGAACATTTCTTTAGTACCACAGTGAACTTTTCTGACATATTGGTTTCATTTGTTTGAGTAATATCATGAGGAAAATTTATCTATGTATTACAATAGGAAATAACTTCAATCTAAACATCATACTGGTGGTCATGTTTGCAGGATGTATATGCACCAAATTAAAAACTCATTTTCCTTACAAGGAACCTTCCATGCATAACAGCCAACAATTTCACAAAATTAAAATGTGAAAATTCTACAGCTAGGTGATGTATACCAAATAGCTCATCAAGTCTTTGGCTATGGAGGTGACAACCTACCGGTCACTTTAAGGCCTTAAAAAATGAGTGATCCATTTACAACATTCAGGTCAAACATGCAACATCAAACGTAATCAAAAGCTTTTACCAGTTCTCACGCTAGGTATATTTTCAGAATCAACTTTGATTATGAAGATTCATCCAAATGCTGGAATGTATTTTTTTTCAGTTTACCTACCTTGCCACCAACTAATTTTATTTCTATTGACATTCCACTGCCTGGTAATATTGCATATGGTTTGGCCTTAAAAATAAAGGATATTATGTCTTTACTCCACAAGGCAATATTGCATATATGGTTTGGCCTTAAAAACAAGAGGCTCTCAAGAGCCTGAATTGCTTGCCTGTAATTTTTTGCTTAAATCTTTCATCATTGATTATTTTTGCTTTTCAATATATATTAATGAGTGGCTTAAAAATGCCATTTAAATGTTCTTTGTATCTGTCATATTTTCTTCAAAAGCAAAAAAATGCAGTTTACCACTATGTTCCATTTTAGCCATAGTGGCTATGTTTCTTGACGTACAGGAAATTGAATAAAAAATTATACTAGATACTCTGAAACTCATTCAGCCCAAGTTTGGCTGAAATTGATTCAGCAGTTTCAAAGGAGAAGATTTTTTAAAGTAAGCAAACTAGATGAACAAATTGTGAAAAATTGTCTTTAAAGGGCAATAACTCCTTAAGGGGTCAATTGACAATTTTGTTCATTAAACTTATTTGTAGATCTTACTTTGCTGAACATTTTTGCTGTTTACAGTTTATCTTAATCTATAATAATATTCAAGATAAAACTGAAAACTGCAAAATTTCCTTAAAATTACCAATTTAGTGGCAGCAACCCAATAATGGGTTGTTCGATTCATCTGAAAATTTCAGGAATGATAGAACTTGACCTAATTTTTAATGAACATTTTACCCCATGTCAGATTTGCTCTAAATGCTTTAGTTTTTGAGATATAAGCCAAAAACTGCATTTTACCCCTATGTTCTATTTTTAGCCATTGCGGCCATGTTTTTTGACGAAACAGAAAATAAAACATAAATTTTATTCTAGATATCCTAAGGATCATCCGATTAAGTTTGGTTGGAATTGGTTCAGAAGTTTCAGAGAAGAAGATTTTTTAAAGTTAGAAAACATGATAAACAAATTGTGTAAAATTGTCCTTAAAGGGCAATTACTCCTTAAGGGGTCAATTGACAGTTTTGGTCATAGGAACTTATTTGTAGATCTTACTTTGCTGAACATTTTTGCTGTTTACAGATTATCTTTATCTATAATAATATTCAAGATAATAATAACCAATAAAAACTGCAAAATTTCCTTAAAATTACCAATTAAGTGGCAGCAACCCAACAATGGGTTGTTAGATTCATCTGAAAATTTCAGGAATGATAGCACTTGACCTAATGAACATTTTTACTCCAGTCAGATTTGCTCTAAATGCTTTAGTTTTTGAGTTATAAGCCAAAAACTGCATTTTACCCCTATGTTCTATTTTTAGCCATGGCGGCCATGTTTTTTGACGAAACAGAAAATAAAACACAAACTTTCTAGATACCCTAAGGATCATTTAGCTTAAGTTTGGTTGGAATTGGAATTGGTTCAGTAGTTTCAGAGGAGAAGATGTTTGAAATAGTTTACACCGGACGTACGATGACAGACGCCAAGTGATGGCAAAAGCTCACATTTCCTTTGGAAAGGTGAGCTAATAAAAGGATATTATTCCACTGTATGTTAAATTTGATAGCTTAATCAATATTTGATTGGTTGAGACCATTCCACGTGACATTGAACAAAACTTCATATTCACCTCTGAGTATCATATTCCCCTCTGAACATACAGACTTCCTCATGTGCTGTTACGTGCGGTTAATGCAAATAAGGTTTTGAATAGTAAATGTACTATCGTGTTCAAAATTATTTCAGACGTAAATTCAAAACATAAATAATAGATTATTATCTTTTGATCGGTACTGTTTATCAATGTTTTAAATTATGTTGTGTTTAGTGATGAAAACAAGTGGTTGAGAAAAATGTATTTAAATTAATGTTTTATGTTCAGGTATTTAGTAGTAAACAAAATATAGGCAGTGGAATAAAACATTCATTTCCCTTGGCTTAGGGAGATATGAAGATTTCTTCACCCTCGAAAAGTCATATTTCCCTCAGGCATGGCCCTTTGGAAATTTGAATTTTCTTGAGTGAACAAATCTTCATATCTCCCTCAGGCATGGGAAATAAATGTATAATATGTCTTTACTCCACAATGTTATATTGCATATGATTTGGCCTTAAAAATAAAGGATAAAAATTGCATACAGTTTGGCCTTAAAGATAAAGGATATTATATCTTTACTCCACAAAGTAAAATTACATATGGATTGGCCTTAAAAATAAAGGATAATATGTCTTTACTTGGCATTAAAATTAGAAAGATCATATCATAGGGAACATGTGTACTAAGTTTCAAGTTGATTGGACTTCAACTTCATCAAAAACTACCTTGACCAAAAACTTTAACCTGACACGGGACAGACGGACGGACGGACGGACGAACAAACGGACGAACGAACGAAGGGACGCACAGACCAGAAAACATAATGCCCCTACTACTATCGTAGGCGGGGCATAAAAACCCAATACTCAATTTTGCCATTATTGGTCATAAATCAATGCAATATCAAACTTACTTTTGACATTTCTGTTATATCTGCTAATGGTATAACAATATTCTTCTTTGATGGCGTCTTTGATCTTTCAAAGCAAAGAAAACTAAAGAAAAAAATTAATACATCTAACTTGTCAGAATATCTTGCTTTTTTCCAAAATGAATTCTGAGTTAAACATTTTTCTTTGAACAAAGCACTCTTGTTAAATCCAAACTTATGTCAAAAATGACAATCACCACATCCAATATAGCCTACTTAACTTCCTGAAGGTCTGTAGCAATTTGTTCATTAAAAATATCTTGTACAGTATTGCTTTTATAATTTTTTGTTTTAGCAACAGAGGCAGCTAACTATGAGGTCTTAACTGCAGTCATCAAGCATATCTCATCAAAATGATGGATGTTTGGGATCCTTAACACACATTCTTAAGGGAGATTACAATTGCAGCATTTCCAAAGTTTGATGGAACTAGCTATTTAAAGGATCACAGAATTATTTGCTAAATGTTCTATTTATAGAAGTGATGACCAACCATAATTCTTAAAGCGATCCCAAATGTATATTTTCCCAAATTTATCATGTCAATTGTCTCATTTCAAAATTTTGAACAGCAAATTTTAAATCAAAGGTTTGGTCCAAACAGACACAGTGGATTCAGAACAAATAAATGTGGAATGTGTCCATGGGACACAAATGATGCCCCCGCTTGCATATCATATAAATTATAAACGGACATAACTGAAGAACTGTAAAAGTGACCCTACCCAAGTTTGAACTTGATCTGTATTTTGTGGTAATAAGCATTGTGTATAAGTTTCATAGCATTTGGTTGCGGCAAACTAAAGTTAGAGAACGGAAACAAAAAATTCAGCAATTATTCCATTTGTAAATGGGCATAACTCAAGAACGGTTAAAGTGACACCACCAAAATTCAAACTTGATCTGTATTTTGTGGTAATAAGCATTGTATATAAGTTTCATAGCATTTGGTTGGGGCAAACTAAAGTTAGAGAACGGAAACGAAAAATTCAGCAATTTTTCCCTTTGTAAAGGGGCATAACTCTAGAACGGTTAAAGAAACACCACCAAAATTCAAACTTGATCTGTGTTTTGTGGTAATAAGCATTGTGTATAAGTTTATAGCATTTGGTTGAGGCAAACTAAAGTTAGAGAACGGAAACCAACTTTGGGACGTGCATACGGACGGACTGACATACGGACGGACTGACATACGGACAGACGTACGTACAGACGGACAAGGGTAAAACTTAATGCCCCCTCCGCTACAGCGGGGGCATAAAAATTAATGACAGCCAATGTAATAAATTACTTCGCTGAGCGCAGCTGGATACGACCGCAGAGGTCCAACCCTGAACAGTTGGGGCAAAAATGGACACAATGTTCCCACTTGATACAGGTCTGAATTTGGATTGGTATTAAATATTTGACACATAATAGGTTTCTGACACAGAATAACTGCAGTCAAAGAACTTAGAATTGGTTATATGTTTTGAATTTATATTCAATTTTTTGCTTTTGTGCAATACACTTTGCTGTTGCGAATTGACCCCCCTCCCCCCCCCCCCCCCCCCCCCACAAACAAAAAGAAAAAATTTACCCCCCTTTTTTTTTGCTTTTGTGCAATACACTATGCTGTTGCGTATTGACCCCCCCCCCCCCCCCCCCCCCCCCCCCCCCCCACACACACACACACACTTTTTTTTTGGCAAAAAAATAATATTTGAAGAATTTTTCTTTTTAATTTCTGAAATCTGAAATCTTTTTACCCACCCCCCCCCCCCCCCCCCCCCCCTTTTTCCCCCCCCAAAAAATTCTTTCCCTCAAGATATGGTCATAATCTCAATTCAAATTTCCAATGGAGTTTGCAACCATAATTACCCATTTAAATACATCATAAAAGTCTTAAAATAGAAAATGACATACATAATCATGGCTAAAATTAATATTCCTTAATAGTAACATCTAAAAATAAATTGACAGCTAATCATCTCAAGACAATACAACATTTTAATTTAAAAGCAGTGTAAGGGAGGTAATCAAAATGTTGTGTTTGGATAACCTCCCTTACACTGCTCTTAAATTGTCTTAAGTAATTGTCCATTAACCAGGAAACCCTTGTTTTTCCCCCTTTTTTGCCCCTAATTCCTAAACGGTTTGAGCCATAACCCCCCAAAGCAAATACTAACCCTCCCTTTGTGGTATGGAAACTTGTAGTATAATTTCAGAGAGATCCATACACGGTTCCACAAGTTATTGTCTGGAAACTAGAAAAATGCTTATTTGGGCCCCTTTTTGGCCCTTAGTTCCTAAACTGTTAGGACCATAACCCTGAAAATCAATCCCAACCTTCCTTTTGTGGTTATAAACCTTGTGTTTAAATTTCATAGATTTCTATTTAGTTATACTAAAGTTATTGTCCAGAAACCAACTGTCTTCGGACGACACTGACGACGACAACAACGTGATACCAATATACGACCGCAAAGTTTTTTGCGGTCGTATAAAAAGGAAGGCAGACCATGGACAAAATATATAAGTGATGGAAATAGCTCACACTGGTTCTTTGGACCTAGTATAAAATCAATTCAAAATTGAACAGCATAAGAAACCAAAAATTTTATGTGAAAAAATCAATAAATCTACGTTTTAAGTAATGTAGCAATAATTTTACAGTTAATGGTCAAAGTTTACTTGCAGTGAGGTGAGAGTTTTTGCTCTGTGTTGAAGGCCTTACTGCGACTTTGAGATGAAGAACAGCTATAAAGAGCTGTTTCTTTGCTTTTTGTGTTTTTTCTGTGCGTATACTGATTTTGTGTCATGGATGGATACCCCATATCATTTCTTTTCTATATAACATACCTCCTTGTAAGATATAATTTTCCATTTTTTAATCCTGATAAAACTGACTTTTCTTTGTTAACAAGAGAACATCTCTTCCCTCCTTGCCATCCTACAATAGTATAGTAGTGATTTTATGCATTTATCTTTTTCTGATCAAAATTGTCATTTTACAAATGACTATATGGTTCACATATATAATCATATAATATCAAAATGTAAATCCTTTTTTCCAAGTACATTGGTTGACTCATGTAAACTTTTTCTTTCTTAGTTGATAAGAGGTATTTTTAACAGAATATCCCTGATGCTAATCTTCATCATAAATTAGTTCTTGGCCTGTCCTGTTTAAGTAAATCTTTTAAAATTGCTGCTTTCCCAGAGATGACCTACCTGTTACTGGACATTCTGAGTCGGGTAATGAAAATAATTGACAGAATTCTGTATCTGTATCTTTGATTTTCTGTGTTTTTGTAGATGTTTCAGAGGCTGATTCTTCTGATGTTGTCTCTGTTTCTGACAATAAATACTGTAACACAAAGTTAAAATGCCTCTATTGTGAGTTCATAAAACTTTTTCAGTTTAAACAAGATATACTAAGAGCAGTATTGCACACTAATTTTACTCCCACTAAATGTTATTGACTGAAGAACATCTTCACAGAAACTGAAAACTTGACACATGGAACAGCATATCCATAGAAAGCAATGTATCAAGAAGCTACGACTTGAAGTTGAAGTTGCTGAGAAAAATGTGGAAAAAAATTACTTACAAGTATGAACAAATTTAAAGACATAAATTTTCTAAAAACCAGACCTAGAACATCAAAGGAACTTTTAATGTGTCAAATGTAATGGCATAACCAGATAAAGCTTGGTGCCTTACATCAGAAAGCTATGATTTGTAGTTTCTGAGGAAAATAACCATGTATATGCATGACTCTGTAAAGATATGTAACGAAACAGAAAGTAGAATATACATGGAACTGAAAATAGGCCATACAGAAGACTGCATCTAAATTTTAACTGTATAAAAACTAAATCCATTTATCAGTAACATACAGAACTAGAGGCTCTAAAGAGCCTGTCACGCTCACCTAGGTCTATGTGCATATTTAACAAGGACACTCTCAAACATTGTAGACAAGAACAGAATTCATGACAAACATTTCTTTTTTGTTGATCCTTTCGTCTGTTAAGTTTCTTTCTATCTTCTTTAGTTTTTGCTCAAAACACATAAGAGGGTAAAAAAAATCCTCATTTAAGGGCAATCACTCCTATAAAGAGTGACAGTCTACTATGATGCAGTCCGGTAAATCAGCAAACATAAGGCTTTGATCCTATGGTTTTCTGCTTAATTATATACAAATTGTATCAAATTTAAAATAAATCGATTCACTGACAAATCAACTTTGAGTAGTTTATCTCATTTTCCAAAAATATCTGAAATAAATTTTAAAATCAACAAAACAAGTGGGTCATCTGTGTTTTTTTTTGGGAAATGTGTTTGTCCGGTAAATCCGCCCATGTGCAGTAAATATGTATGGAGGGCCAGTTTATCACATATTTATGAAAGGAAAAGGTGATCTATTAATAGACCACTTATAAAGGGATTCCAGACAATCGAAAAAAAAAATTTCAAGTCAGAAACGAGTTTTGTAAGCAATAATATGATTATCGTTAGCTTTAGGAACTGTATTATATATATATCACTAGATATTTTCGTAATAAAGGATTTTTCTTTAAAATTTGACATGCAGTGATGATAAATACAGTTCATATGAATAAAATAGCAGACGAAATATTCACGGAAGTGACAATAACTGAAGTAAATAGGAGTGGGCGGGTTTACCGGACACTACTGTATAAAAAAAAGCTATAACTGCTTAATTTGACTTGATAGTAGATCTTGCCTTGCTGATCATTTTTGTTACTTAAAGTTTCTATTTATCTATAATTATTTTCATCATATAGGGTAAAACGCAAACATTGGTAAAAATCTTCATTAAAGGGCAATAACTCTAATAAGGAGTCATTGGTCAATTTCCTGCATGCATTTTCAATTGTAGATCTTGTCCTGCTGATCATTTTTGCTTTTTTATGCTTCTATCTATCTATTATAATTCTTAAGATATAAGGCAAAAACGCAAAAAATTGGTAAAAATCGTCATCAAAGTGCAATAACTCTAGTAAGGAGTAAATAGTTGATTTCGACCATAAGACTTATTGGTAGATCTTGTCTTGCTGATTATTTTTACAATTTAAAGTTTTCTGTATCTTTTATAGTTTTCAAGATAATAGCCAATAAAAATGAAAAAAAAGGTAAAATTTTTCATTTAAGGGCAAAAACTCCTATACGAAGCCCCCTGACAGTTTTGACTTAATGAACAATTGGTAGAGCTCAACATTCTGAACATTTTTGCCCTGTCTGATTTTCTCTATTTATAACGGTTTTCAAAATAATAGACATAGTTTGAATTTTACCCTATGTTCTATTTTTAGCCATGTCAGCCATCTTGGTTGGCTAGATACCCTAATGATGATTGTGGCCAAGTTTGGTTAAATTTGGTCCAGTAGTTTCAGAGGAGAAGATTTTTGTAAAAGTTAACAAACTACAGACGAGGGAAGACGGACAACAGACCCTAAGTGATGAGAAAAGCCCACTTGGGCATTTGGGTCAGGTGAGCTAAAAATGAAAAAGCAAATTAATTTCAATTTTTTTCTCTGGATAATGTCTTTTGTTTGTAAAATAGCTTCTGTCCAAGTTTCTTAAAATTCAATGTAGATTGGACAAAGTTATTGATGTCTTAAAAAACTTTAATCATCTGCAACCCTTAATGTTAATGACTAGACAACACTGGCACTGACGGTGGAATGTACTATTGCTGTGTCTGGCTTCTGCATCGCAGGCTTGTAAAAAAATGCGCTCCGCCTGGAGCAGCTGGATACAACCTCAGAGGTCTAACTCTGAACAGTTGGGGCAAGTATGGACACAATATTCAAGCTTGATACAGCTCTGAATTTGGTAGTGATTAATATTTGACACATTATAGATTTCTGACAGTTGGGGCAAGTATGGACACAATATTCAAGCTTGATACAGCTCTGAATTTGGTAGTGATTAAATATTTGACACATTATAGATTTCTGACACAGCATAAATGTGGTCTGATAACTTCCAAAATTTTAAATGGGACATTTAATCTACTTAAAATGGTCCAATATCCAAAATCTAATTCCATGGTTTGATTCAGCATATAAAAAAAATCCCATGAATTCAAACAAAGTTTAATTTTGGACCCTTTGGACCTTAATATGGACTAATTTGAAAACAGGACCCAAAATTAAAAATCTGAATGCACAGTTAGATTCAGCATATCATAGAATTACAAAAATTCAGTTTTTGATGAAATCAAACAAAGTCTAATTTTGGACCTCAATGTAGACCTATTTAAAAATGTCCAAATATCCAATATAGTAATACATGGTAAAAACCTTAAACAATTCAAGACTTTAAAATAATCCTCATTGAAATTGGTTAAAAGATTTGTATTTATTTTCAACTGAAAATTTCTTGCTGTTATGCAATACTTAGTAAATCTGTTTACAAATTAAATATAATAATTTACACACCCTGTTTGGTGAGTATCTCTTGCCATATCAGTATTTGTTGTTTCTTTATATAGATCAGAAATAATTTATGTTAGAACCAGCTTAGCCAGTATTTGAAAAGTCCTCCTATTTGGCCTCTAGTTTCTTAACGATTAAAGCTACAACCCACAAAATTGACCCCAACCTTCTGTGTGTGGTACTGTGGTATGGAACCTTGTGGTACAATTTCATAGAGATCCATTGACTCATACTTAAGTATTTGTCCGTAAACCAGAAAAACCTTGTTTTTCCCCCTTTTTTTTTGCCCCTAATTCCTGAACGGTTTGGGCCATAACCCCCAAAGTCAATCCCAACCTTCCCTTTGTGGTATGGAACCTTGTGGTACAATTTCATAGGGATCCATACACTAATACACAAGTTATTGTCCGGAAACTAGAAAAATGCCTTTTTTGGCCCCTTTTTGACCCCTAATTCCCAAACAGTTGAGACCATAACCCCCAAAATCAATCCCAACCTTCCTTTTGTGCTATTGAACCTTGTGGTTAAATTTTATAGAGATCCATACACTTATACTAAAGTTATTGTCTGGAAACCAAATGTCTTTGGACGACGATGACAACCACGACAACATGATAGCAAATTTTTTGAGGTCGTATAAAAATGAGCTTTACTTTATGACTCCAATCTTTAAGAATTTGAAAATTATGAGTATCCATAACAGCAAACCAGTTCTTGTATAAAGATTATCTACTCTTAGACCATTGAAGTCAAATAACTCTGTCGCCTCCCAAAACAAAATCTTCCAAATGAAAATGGGGGTTATCATGCCATGCTAATTAAATATCATGAAAATTTATCTATTCAAATGTTTATTGTATAACTCTAGAATGTCACATTAAAAAAAAATCAAAATTTAAAAGAACCCTCATTTCCAAACTTCAAACTGTGTTTAAACATTTTTTTGAACTTTTAAAGAAGTTATTGAAAATCTTGAAAATCAAATGGCAGCTTTGTTTTATTTATCTCTTAACTCTTTACAAAAAAGTATCTATATCTACAAATAACAGAAAGAGTGACTACTACAGGGTACTCTCTGAAGGTCCTGAGGCCTTTGTTAACTGTGTTTTCATACCTTATCAATTTCAGACTTAACCATTTTCTGTTCACTTTCTGCTGTTGTTGGAAGCTGTTGCCAGGTTTTGTAGGATGAATCATACCTTCTCTTCAATCGTGGATATCGATTATAAAAGTAGTTGATAATAAATATTTTGATTCCTAAAAATATACCTAAAATAAAAAGTAAAATACAAGTAGATAACTGAAACAAAAACTTTGTGATACAGTTCATGTTACTTAACCAATGAAACAATTACCTAATTTAAAAGTCAAAAGTCAACTCAAACTGGAAAGGAACCCATCACAAAATAGTATATTCTTTGAAATCAAATAACAACCCATCAATGGCTCCATACAACTATACTAACTATGAAATCAAAATCTTAATGGCCACAAACCAATGGTTTCCTTAAAATCAAACATTAGCCCACTATGTCAATACCAAAAGCTGGTTACATACCAATAGATAGTTAGTCTCTACACAATTACTTCAGATCAATTTCCTCAAGGAAAAGGTATAATTAGGCTTTTTTTGGACCACAGATAATTGGTAATCTTCAGCCAAAGTCAAGTATTTTCACTTAAATTTTCTTATTATCCTCAATTTGCTTAAATCAATACCACATACTAACCCATTATATAACTGTAGTTTTCTATAGATGCAGTCAACGACATGATAAAACAGATAAATAGCATCATAAATAACTTTCTAGTCACTGGTGTCTTCCAAGTTAATAAACTGAAATGCAACCAATATCATTAAAATCATTTAAGTAAATTATTTCATTCATAATGTTGGTAATTGTTAATTACAAAATAAGCCAAACATTACAATCAGTCATGATGTTGAAAATTGGTTATATGATTTGAATTTATATTCAATTGAAGATTTCTTGCTGTTGTGCAATACTTAGTAAATCTGTTTTCAGACTATATACAAAGAATTTGCAAAATATATTGTGACTCCCAATTTTTCTTTTGGAAAATTGATAATTTCTTAAATCTTGGGGGAAAAAAATTGACCCCCCCAAAAAAATTGACCCCTCTCCCCTTCCCCCTCCAAAAAAAATAATATTTGAAGAAATTTTCTTTTGTAAAATGTGGTACAATTTAAGTGACATCCATACATTTAAACACAAGTTATTGTCTGAAAACTAGAAAAATGCTTGTTTTGGCCCCTTTTTGGCCCCTAATTCCTGAACAGTTTGGGCAATTACCCCCAAACTGAATCCCAACCTTCTACTTGTGGTATTGAACCTTGTGGTACAATTTCAGAGCAATTAAAATACTTATACACAAGTTATTGTCCTGAAACTAGAAAAATGCTTGTTTTGGGCCCCTTTTTGGTCCCTTATTCCTAAACGGTTGGGACCATCATCCCCAAAAACAATCCCAACCTTCCTTTTGTGGTATTGAACCTTTTGCTTAACTTTCATAGAGATCCATATACTTAAACTAAAGTTATTGTACAGAAACCAAATGTCATTGGCCGCTGACGACGACATAACAATATACAACTACAAAAATTTTTGCGGTCGTATAAAAATAACCAGAAGACTTCTAGATGTCAACATACATTTTTCAACAATAGTCAGGTGTCCATACAATTTGTTATGCTCTAAATCATCCTGAGTTTATAAAGTTGTGAATAGATTTGACAGGGATAATAAAATATATGCCATCACTATTCCAATTCTCCAAATAATGAAAAACATTCAGGTATGACATTCGACAACATTTAACGGTACTGACAAGATTCCTGAATTGGAACAGGCACATAAAAATGTGGAGGGGTTAGACTAGTTTATTGAGATCTCAACCCTCTCCCTTTTCAATCTTGATCAGTTCATTAACAATATGTTCATTAAAAAACATATAATAAAAACAAGTACTGAAAAAAGCCCTTAACTCTAAAATATTGAGTATATGTCAGATTAAAGAATGCTCTCAGTTATTGAAAGGAAACTCAAAGTACTTAAAGGGAAAATTCGCGATTTTTTACTTATCATCTTATTATGTTCATAATACCATTAAAAACATATTCACCAAGTTTTATCTGGATATGAAAACTAATAAAGAAGAAAATTGGGAATTATTAATTCTATTTATTCAAACTTCCTGACTTATGTGACGTAGTTTAAGTCTTTTTGCATGCCGGGAGTGGATTAATCTCATTTAAAGTCTTGTTTACGTTAATCATCTAATAACGCGATTTAAAGCGCATCAACGACTTTTGGTGTAGCTATTAACCAACTAACAATTCAGAAAGAAAAGTGATCAGCCGTGCATTTTTTTAAATTAAAATTTACGATTTATATTTTAAGGATTTTGATATAATTATAGTAATAAAAGCAAATCATACAATCGAATTTTTTATGATTTTTTTTTCGACGGATATGTTGAACAACATATATAACTGATAGTATAATAGAAATTCACGTTTGTATTCTCCCCTATTACTTCAGTCGAGGATTTGTCTTACTATACAAATCCTGGCTTCAGTCTAGTACTGTGTAAATACAATGCATGTGTATTATGCTAACACCACCTGGTAAAGGCGTGGTTAAATTCACGGTAATTAAAAGATTAGCATTATGCAATTTTAATCCTTTGATCTTCACTAGAGTGGTGTTTGTCCTCAAGGGTTCACCGTTTCAGGTATGAGACAGATTTTTTTTAATTATTAAGGGAGGAATATGGTGGCAAAATACCTTAATCGCCGTTATATATATATTTTTTTAACATTTTGCATTTGCTCAGTTTTTAAATAAATAGGTGAGTATTTTGTTGTAACATCGAAATTCTGAATCACTTTTAATAAAATAATTATATAAATATTATAAATGGCCCACGAAAACGAGCGTATAAATCAAAACAGTACTATTTTAAATTATCATCGGTAACCTTGAATATTTAAATGTGCAGAGAAAATTATCAGTTACGAAAATATAGTTTTGTCGTCCAAAGCGATCTTCATTTACCTAATCAGGAATGCCCTTATTGAAATATTATAAATCTCACAACGTATTTATATAATTCTTAAGCTATTTGACCAACGATGTTTAAAAAAATTAACAGAATCAATCTAACGTCAACTTTCCTTTTTTAAATGTAGACAGAACGGCGAAATCAATTTTCAATGTGCTTGATATCTTGTACCTTTGTAAGACTTATCATTCATTCATAAACCCACTCTAAACCAGAGACATATATATACGTCTGTTTAAACTGACAAGAAAACTCCTAAAGCGGACAAGCAGTATATTCTGTAAATTTCTGAGATTTAATACAAAGAAATAAAAAAAATCCCGAAATTAATTTGATCCTGGAAAATATTCACATCCTCATTCGGTCTGGAAAAAAGATACGAATTTGGTATACAGAACATGCAGAAGTGTGAATGTTATAAAACCTAATTGTTATATCAGAAACCATTATAAATATGAACATGTATACGTAAGACCTCATGGGAGTCACCTAACCACATTCAGGTAATATACAAGTAGCTCTGTTATACCCGGAAATGTCAAGGTTAATCATAGATAGATAGACATGACCTCAGACCCCCCTCCCCCCCCCCCCCCCCCCCACCCCACCCCAAATCGAGGAACAGTATATCTTACAATGTGTATATTCCTGCAAAAATAAAAAAAAATGAGAAAAAAGAAAGAGATGAACGGTAAGTCACATCAGATTCAGATATTTATATAGTTGCTTGTCGTTAAATAGAGATCTAGTGTATACATGTCTCTGCGTTAACTTATAAAAATAAAAGGAAATAATAAACTTGAAATAGATTTATGATGAATACTTTGCAACTGCGACACCCCTTTTTATCACAGCGTACATGCATGCATTTAAATGACTGTCCGTTATGCGATTAAGAATGACAATCGTACGTACAATCCTATAGTTCATGGTGAGTCCTTTTCTATCAGATATGCGACTTTTCGTATTTATATTTTCTCTTATATTACCGGTACTGTCATTTAATATCTAATGCATAAGTGCAATATTAAGAGTGGTTAAATCCCCTACAAGCTAACTAAATAAATTACTCAACCCTCTAGCTGACCAGACGTTAATACAACTACCATCAGTCTATCCTGAGTGAAGTTTCTTTATTTCTTCAAATAGGATTTTGGGGATCATTAGTGCACGTCCAGTGGCATATATATATAACATGCATGTCGGACCAGGAAAATGTGATGATGACGAATTTCATAAACTGTTCGAAATAATCTTATTGAAATATAAATCTGTGATCTTACTATGTCTATAGCTTCGATGAACCAAAGCAAGTTAGATATCGACCTGTATTTAAATCAGATTGGTTCTGGATGTTTCTCTCGTATATTCAATATACTTGTATCTATCAGTTCTATATTGCGACTATCCATAGTTCCCTATAAACCTTCCATCTAGGCGTGTAAACCAATGATCGACAAGTGCCGCACATTTTGTTAAATCAATATTTGTATGTTTGAAAATGTCCATAATTATTGACAACGAGTATATACTTACATTTTCCCCAATTTACCCTTGGAAAATGTGTTAATAGATTTTTATTTCATCAAATCTTTTTTTTTTTTTTTTTAATTATTTAAATTTTCATAAATATCATTCTTTACACCAAAAATGTTATTTATAAACAAGCGTATGAGTTTAACAATGACTAGTATATCACTATCGGATACGCTAGACAAAGTTGTATATTACACCTGATAGATTCAAAATGGAAGTTACATGTTATCGGCCGTGTACACTGATCAATACCCCCAGAAAAAAAGTGATGCACGAACTTGTTTTATGTAATTGTGTAATAACAGTTTTAAAGCCCGACAGGAAATCGCTTGAATACCTGTACGTGTCACCTCACAATACCTCTGGGAACAATTCCTTTAGCCATTCTGGTGATCAGATAAGTGAAGGTCCGAATTTATTTTAAAAAGTTTATTACATAAAACAATTATGAACAAACTAGATTTTCAAAAACAATTTTACACGGAACACTTATTTATGACTTTGAACTTTGACTTTTTAACTAATTTCAATTTCTTGTTTTAAATACTTCGTAAACAAAACAGTTTCAAAACGACAGACCATACTATTAGTACTAGTTATTTAAAAAATAATATATATAAAATTACATTTTCCGTATCAAGTTAGTTAGGAAAGGTTGCACAACCATGTCTATCATAATCTTTTTTGTGACCCGGGAAACTGTTTATGCTTTCCTTGTCGGATAAAACAACCGTACGCTTGACAAGATATCGACACTCTATTACGGCTACGTTAGGTTACTGCTTGTTTTGGTCCTTTGTGGTTTATAGATATATCGTGGTGGATGTCAAAATGGCCGCATGTGGAGAATTGATACTCTAAATTTAAAATCGATGGTGATCTCTTAACTTACAGAATAAAACTTTAATATCTATGAATTTGTGCTTTTTTATACATAATGAACAGAATATGAATTTTTCATTTTTTTGCGAAGTTTCCCTTTAACCTGTTGATAAGAAAACATGCAGTCCTACATTTAATTATATAAGTTATAAATGCTTTAAAATTCCAATTGCTACTATAAAGTTCAGCTTTTATTACCTTTGTATTTTCTCTAAACCATCTGCTGCAGCCCCTAGTCCATTCTGAAATAAAGATTTATACTATTTGCTGAACAAGGATAATTTGCACATAAAGGGAATAAAGTAAACCATGGATTAAAAAAATATTGCAGAAGATCAAAATCAAAAACTCCATAATTTTATGCATCTAGGAACAAGAGGCTCTGAAGAGCCTGAATCGCTCACCTGTATTTCAGAGGAGAAGATTTTTAAATGTTAGCAAACTTGATGAACAAATTGTGTAAAATTGTCTTTAAAGGGCAAGAACTCCTTAAGGGGTCAATTGACAATTTTGGTCATATTAACTTTTTTGTAGATCTTACTTTGCTGAACATTATTGCTGCTTACAGTTTATATATATCTATAATAATATTCAAAATAATAACAAAAAACTGAAAATTTTTGTTAAAACTACCAATTTGGTGGCAGCAACCCAACAATGGGTTGTTCGATTCGTCTGATAATTTCAGGGCTGATAGATCTTGACCAATTAAACAATTTTACCCCATGTCACATTTGCTCTAAAAGATTTAGTTTTTGAGATATAAGCCAAAAACTGCATTTGACCCTTATGTTCTATTTTTGGCCATGGCGGCCATGTTTGTCGATAGATACAAACTTCGGATACAATTTATAAACAAGATACGCTAAGGAACATTAAAGACCAAACAGCCTATTCAGTTTTACCAGTGATATTTCCTTAAAATTTTGTGTGAAGGTATTTCATGATTTGAGGAACAAAATATGACAAAAAAATTTGGGGGTCACCGACTTAGTTTTGTCACTATAGCAACCTCAGTTTCGTGTTTTCCCGAATATTAACATGATATTTGCTTGTTATTTAAACTCTCAAAAAATCCCATTATATCAAACCTACAAGCATAATTCTTGTTTCATGTTAAACAGCAGATTTGTGTCTATCAAATACAGGTTCAAGAGTTTAAGACTCTTATTGTTTTGATCTTAAAAAATATGATTTATTTCATTCCTGCCAAAAATAAAACGCAAGAATGAAAAACGTTTCAAGTATTAAAAAATATCTACCAGTGAATTTTTCATAAAAATTTCAAGAAGGAAAGTGACATGTGTACTCTTCAAAATAAAGCAAAAAAATGTATATGTCACCGACCTTTCAAAAAAGTTATGATTAATTTTCATGTTTTTTTCTCGTTCGTTTTGAAGAAAAGAGTTGTCTTTCTTCAGAACATTGAATCTGACGTCATAGTACAAGTTTTCCTTGCTGGCATACTGTTTGAAAAAAATTGCAAATTGGACGTTTGAAACCCACATTTGAATTTTCAAGAATCAAGAATAACAACTATATTCACCTACTTTATTATCCGGTAATACAAGATATCACATGTATTTATCAGTATCAGATCTCATGATGTTGTTGCCGCACAAAATTAACCTTCAGAAACACTATCCTTCGGAATGAAAAATTGTTCGAAATAACCTTTTACGACGCTTTAGAAAGGAAAGTCTGTTTTTGTCCTCTCCCACTCATTAGCAAAATCATTGAAAATAAAAAGAGAAATGAAAGATGACACTGGCTAACTTACAGACTATTTGACTATATTAGACTAGATGTGTGGGTTTTTTTTGTCGCGTCAATTTCAGAACTTCGCCCTAGCGCACTCGTTCGCTACTGTTGCCAGACGGACAGACATTAGCACGGACGGACTTCTTTATATCATTATGTGTCCCGACTAAGACGAGCGTATACAAATTATTCCATCAAGTTTGTGGATTCATTATTTCTGAATATTTGAAATATAAGAAAATTAAAATTATAGGTATAATATATGAATTAAAGTTTTTGATTCTAAAACGTTATACATCCATTTATCATAAAAGATGATCCCCGTTATTACTACCTCACGTGTTTTGAATAAACGAGACAGTAAATATAAAATACAAATAATTTTTTAATTCAAAAATTGATTTAGAATCTAAGAAATAATTTTCCGTTGAAAACTATAAAGTATTTCTCAAAACTGGATGAAATATTATGAATCTAAATAGCTCATTTTGGAAATTAAAACAAAGACAAGGTTGTATGTATAGATTGCCGGCATTGAAAATCAAATTTGTTTTCAATCTTTCCGGTCATTGTAGCTTTTTGAAAGTGAGAAATTTCATGTTGGATCTTATTCTTGAAGCAATTGTTTTTGTCATAAGTTAAATTTACAACAAGTTTAGTTTTAAAAACCTTAATTTTTTATTTTAATTCACATTATTATTTTCTTACATTTTTTGCCTTAAGCTTCTGTGAGATCAGGCGAAATCTTTATCATTTCTCCTTGAGACAATTTGAAATGAAACAAATGACAAAAGACAATGAACCTTTATCATTTTTATTTTACTATAAGATTTTGTCAATTAAGCAGTATAGATAAAATTTAACTTCATTGCAAGATCACCATTATTTTACGAGAATCTTAAAGAAATAAGTTAATCTCAACATGCATACGTTGCCAGTATATCGAAACTTCTAGAAAGTATTGTTTATCGGCCTAACCTTACACGGGCGTACGAGATTTGCGCCGATTTAAAAAAAAAATCGATCTTTAATTTGTGCCGATTTGATTCTTTCATTAGCGCCTATTTTTTTATCACTTGCCCCGATACTGTATTTGCTATACGAGTAAATACATGTACATGTAGTTAACCTAGAATGTATATTGCATGGTAATATATGGATATAAATAGTGTTCCCTTTTGTTTAAGATAATTTTGGTCATATTGTTCGAGAACTTCGTTTTGACACGAGAAAGAAAAGATGGACTTCGTTATTGGCAAGTACAACAAGTATAGAAAAGATAAAATGACAAGAAAGGAATATATCAGATGTGTGGCATATAAATTCTCGGCAAGATAATAATTCATTGTACTAGTATTACATTTTTATGGATTTTATTGTGGTGCTTTAAAATGCTGTAAATAGAATTTTACTCCGAGATTTTAGTGAATGTAAACAGAGTGCACAAATATCTTTTAAATTGACTTATCCTGCTCGAAATTCTACTCCCATCTCCACTTTGTGAGCAGGGGACAACAGTTATATAATTGACAATTCATAACATATGTATAACTGGCTAACAGAAGAGGTCTATATGATAAATAAAAAAATACCTTTCACCTATAATTTACCTGTACACAATCGGTGCAAATAAAAGACAAAATCGGCGCTTAAGCGTACATCATGTTGGAGTCCGTGAAAAACGCGTAATAGGACGTTATAATTTGACGTTTTTTTATCATGGCTAGAAACAACGTCATAGAGCTTTTATGTCACTACCAAGTTGCGTTAGTTGATGCGCATCAACAATAGGCTGTTTGGTCTTTAAGTTAAAGTTTGAAGGTATTTGGCCCAGTAGTTTCAGAGGAGAAGATTTTTAAATGTTAGCAAACTTGATGAACAAATTGTGTAAAATTGTCTTTAAAAGGCAATAACTCCTTAAGGGGTCAATTGACAATTATGGTCATATTAACTTTTTTGTAGATCTTACTTTGCTGAACATTATTGCTGCTTACAGTTTATATATATCTATAATAGTATTCAAAATAATAACAAAAAACTGCAAAATTTTGTTAAAACTACCAATTCGGTGGCAGCAACCCAACAATGGGTTGTTCGATTCATCTGAAAATTTCAGAGCTGATAGATCTTGACCAATTAAACAATTTGCTCTAAAAGCTTTAGTTTTTGAGATATAAGCCAAAAACTGCATTTGACCCCTATGTTCTATTTTTAGCCATGGCGGCCATGTTTGTCGATGGATCAAAACTTCGGATACAACTTGCAAACTAGATACCCTAAGGAACATTTAGTTAAAGTTTGAAGGTATTTGGCCCAGTAGTTTCAGAGGAGAAGATTTTTGAAATAGTTTATGACGACAGACGATGACGACCACAGACGACGGACAACGACGGACGCCAAGTGATGGCATAAGCTCACATGGGGCCCTTCGGGCCCCGGTGAGCTTAAAAGTATAAAATTATTCAATGAATTAGTAAGTTTCCATTTCTATCTATATGCCCTTTCCAACAGCCATTTTGTTTAATACAAAGGCCTTACTTCCATCATGAGTGCTTCCATCTAACAAACTACCAAGTGATATGATTCCATTAAAGGCAAGAAAACCAGAACAAACACATAGTGCTGTTTCATTGATATGTAACCCATGGTTTCTTTCATTCATTCATACATATATTCATTGATCTGTAAAAACAAATTAAACTATATACCAAACTTTTAAAAAAAATGAAATGAAGGAGAATTTTAAAAATTAGGAAGAATTTCTTTTTTGTCATCTAGAAATTTAAGTGTGATTGACAAATTCAACTTAAAAATACCAATACTTGGCAAAAAAAAAGTATGAACAAAAATACGGAACTCCAAGGTAAAGTAAATAAAATGCTCCGCTGGGGCGCAGCTTGATACGATATTCAAACCATATCATTATTATTTGCTTTTATATATAAATCAGAAATAACCAATTTGAAATGGAAAATTTTAAAGAAAAAAAAGGAAAAAAAAATCCCCCCCCCAATTTTTTGAACCCCCTTATGATTCATCACCCCCAAACTCAATCCCAGCCTTCCCTTTGTGGTATGGTACCTTGGAGTACAATTTCAGAGAGAATCATACACTTGAACACAAGTTATTGTCTGGAAACTAGAAAAATGCTTGTTTTTTGGCCCCTTTTTGGCCCCAAATTCCTAAACGTTTAGGGCAATTACCCCCAAACTCAAACCCAGCCTTCCCTTTGTGATATGAACCTTGCAGTACAATTTCATAAAGATCCATACACTTACACACAATTTATTGTCCTGAAACTAAAAAAATGCTTGTTTTTTTGCCCTTTTATGGCCCCTATTTACTAAAATTTTGAGGGAATTACCCCCAAAATCAATCCCAGCCTTCCCTTTGTGGTATGGTACCTTGGAGTACAATTTCAGAGAGATCCATACACTTGAACACAAGTTATTGTCTGGAAACTAGAAAAATGCTTATTTTTGGCCCCTTTTTTGGCCCCTTATTCCTAAACTTTTTGGGCAATTACCCCTAAACTCAATTCCAGCTTTCCCTTTGTGATATGGAACCTTGTAGTACAATTTCATAAAGATCCATACACTTACACACAAGTTATTGTCATGAAACTAGAAAAATGCTTGTTTTTTGCCCCTTTTTGGCCCCTAATTCCTAAAATTTGGAGGCAATTACCCCCAAAATCAATCCCAGCATTCCCTTTGTGATATAGAACCTTGTGATACAATGTCAGAGAGATCCATACACTTACACACAAGTTATTGTCATGAAACTAGAAAAATGCTTGTTTTTTGCCCCTTTTTGGACCCTAATTCCTAAAATTTGGAGGCAATTACCCCCAAAATCAATCCCAGCATTCCCTTTGTGATATGGAACCTTGTGGTACAATGTCAGAGAGATCCATACACTTACACACAAGTTATGTCTGGAAGTTACAAAAATGCTTATTTTTGGCCCCTAATTCCTTAACTGTGGGTACCATAACCCCCAAAATCAATCCCCACCTTCCTTTTGTGGTATTGAACCTTATGGTAAAATTTCATTGAGATCCATTCACTTAAACTAAAGTTAGAGTGTGAAAACTAATGTGTCTTTGGACGACGACGACGCCAACGTCATACCAATATACGACCACAAAATTTTTTTTGCAGTCGTATAAAAAGGTGAAAGTCCATAAAACATAACAAAATGAAAGGCTTAATTCTATCAACCAACAGAAAGAATGGAAAACAACTGTCAAATTGTTGACTTGTAACAGGCATTTTGAAAAGAAAACGGTGTTAAAACCTGGCTTTATAGCTAGCTAAACCTCCCACTTGTATAACAGTTGCGTTATATCATATTGAATAAAAATGCTTCGCTGAGCGCAGCCAGATACGACCGCAGAGGTCTAACCCTGAACAGTTGGGGCAAGTTTGGACACAATATTCAAGCTTGATACTGTCTGAATTTGGATTGTTATCAAATTTTTGACATAATATAGGTTTCTGACACAAAATAAATGTGGTCAAAGATCTTTAAAATTTGAAATGGGACATTTAATCTACCTAGAATGGTCTGATATCCAAAATCTAACAACATGGTTAGATTCAGCATATAAAAAAACACCAAAAATTTAATTTTAGTTGAAATCAAACAAAGTTTAATTTTAAATCCTTCAAACCTTAGTATGGACTAATTTGGAAACAGGGCCAAAAATAAATAAACTGTTAACTCAGAGATATGTCTTGCCTATTTGTTATTTTGATAATGCAAATGTTGAAATTAAAATAGCAATACTTTATTAATATGTAAGTTATGCAAATATTCAAAGTCAATGACTGAAGGTATAGGGCTCAACAATCTCCATGGAAATGAGATGTGCCAATCTAATACAAATGTATACCAAATACCACTGAAACCTCATAAGTCGTTCCCTTTAAACAAACACAAATATTAACTTGTAAACTATGTAAAAGTTTCAAAGTCAATGAACCATAATGAGGGTGTGGGGTTATATAATCTCCATGGAAATAAAACTTGTAAATGCCAATACATTTGCATACCAAATATCATTGACTTAACATTAGTGGTTCATCTTAAACTGACCTAATCACAAACTAATACATGTAAACGAAGCAAAAGTTTCAAAGTCAATAGACCATGACTGAGGGGCAGGGCCAAATAATCTCCATGGAAATGAGATATGCCAATGCTTATACAACTGCATACCAAATATCATTGACCTACCACTAGTGGTTCCCCATAAACTGACCTAATCACAAACTAATACATGTAAACAAAGCAAAAGTTTCAAAGTAAATAGACCATGACTGAGGGGGCAGGCCCAAATAATCTCCATGGAAATGAGATATGCCAATGCTAATACAACTGCATACCAAATATCATTGACCTACCACTAGTGGTTCATCATAAACTAGACCTAATCACAAACTAATACATAGTTAATGACGACATCAACGCCTGAAACAGCATAAATATGTCTCACTTTTCAACTCCCTCAAGGCAAGACAAAAATATAAATGCACAATAAGATTCAGCATATCATACACGCCGCAATAATTCAGTTTTTGATAAAATCAAACAAATTTTAATTTTGGATCCTTTTGACCTCAATGTAGACCAATTTAAAAATGGGGCCCAATATCCAAAAAAGTAATACAAGGTTAGAACCCCCCAAAATTAAAGACTTTAAATTAATCCAATTGAAATTGTTTAAAAGTATTGTATTTATTTTCAATTGAAGATTTCTTGCTATTGCGCAATACTGTGCAATTGAAGATTTCTTGCTATTGCGCAATACTGCGCTATTGTGCAATACTGGCCAATTGAAGATTTCTTGCTATTGCGCAATACTGTATAATTGAAGATTTCTTGCTATTGCGCAATACTGTGCAATTGAAGATTTCTTGCTATTGCACAATACTGTGCAATTGATGATTTCTTGCTATTGCGCAATACTGTGCAATTGAAGATTTCTTGCTATTGCGCAATACTGTGCAATTGAAGATTTCTTGCTATTGCGCAATACTGTGCAATTGAAGATTTCTTGCTATTGCGCAATACTGTGCAATTGAAGATTTCTTGCTATTGCCCAATACAGTGCAATTGAAAATTTCATGCTATTGCGCAATACCGTGCTATTGCTCAATACTGTGCTATTGTGCAATACTGTGTTATTGCGCATTACTGTGCAATTGAAGATTTCTTACTATTGTGCAATACTGTGCTATTGCGCAATACTGTGCAATTGATGATTTCTTGCTATTGTGCAATACTGTGCAATTGAAGATTTCTTGCTATTGCGCAATACTGTGCAATTGAATATTTCTTGCTATTGCCCAATACTGTGGTATTGAACAATACTGTGCTTTTGCGCAATACTTTGCAATTGAAGATTTCTTGCTATTGTGCAATACTGTGCAATCATTTGAAAAATTTCAAAAATTTTGAAGAAAAAAAATATGAACCCCCAAAAAAATTGGAAAAAAAAATCCTACCAAACTTTTTGAACCCCCTCCCTCTTAGAGTAAACACCCCCAAATTAATCCCAGCCTTCCCTTTGTGGTATGAAACCTTATAGTACAATTTTAGAGAGATCCATACACTTAAACACAAGTTACTGTCTGGAAACTAGAAAAATGCTTGTTTTTGGCCCCTTTTTTGCCCCTAATTCCTGAACCATTAGGGCAATTACCCCCAAACTTAATTCCAGCCTTCCCTTTGATATATGGAACCTTGTGGCACAATTTCTGAGAGATCTATACACTAACACACAAGTTATTGTCCGGAAACTACAAAAATGCTTGTTTTTGGCCCCTAACCCCTAAACTGTTGGTACCATAACCCCCAAAATCAATCCCAACCTTCCTTTTTTGGTATTGAACCTTCTGGTAAAATTTCTTAGAGATCCATTCACTTAAACTAAAGTTATTGTCTGGAAACCAAATGTGTCTTCATACGTCGCCGCCAACAACAACGACACCATAGCATTATACGACGCAAAACATTTTTTGCGGTCGTATAAAAAATTAAGTGAGCAACACAAAACAACATAGTTAGTTAAGGTGACAATACTTGGGATCCAGCAGCCAAAAAAGTGTAAACATACAACACAGAAATACAAACACAACAGACTTAAAATTCAAACAAATATACCAATAAATCCGAGCCAAAACAGTGTAAACATACAACACAGAAATACAAACACAACAGACTTAAAATTCATACAATATACCAATAAATCTGAGCCAAAACAGTGTAAACATACAACACAGAAATACAAACACAACAGACTTAAAATTCAAACAAATATACCAATAAATCCGAGCCAAAACAGTGTAAACATACAACACAGAAATACAAACACAACAGACTTAAAATTCATACAATATACCAATAAATCTGAGCCAAAACAGTGTAAACATACAACACAGAAATACAAACACAACAGACTTAAAATTCAAACAAATATACCAATAAATCCGAGCCAAAACAGTGTAAACATACAACACAGAAATACAAACACAACAGACTTAAAATTCAAACAAATATACCAATAAATCTGAGCCAAAACAGTGTAAACATACAACACAGAAATACAAACACAACAGACTTAAAATTCAAACAAATATACCAATAAATCCGAGCCAAAACAGTGTAAACATACAACACAGAAATACAAACACAACAGACTTAAAATTCATACAATATACCAATAAATCTGAGCCAAAACAGTGTAAACATACAACACAGAAATACAAACACAACAGACTTAAAATTCAAACAAATATACCAATAAATCTGAGCCAAAACAGTGTAAACATACAACACAGAAATACAAACACAACAGACTTAAAATTCAAACAAATATACCAATAAATCCGAGCTAAAACAGTGTAAACATACAACACAGAAATACAAACACAACAGACTTAAAATTCAAACAAATATACCAATAAATCTGAGCCAAAACAGTGTAAACATACAACACAGAAATACAAACACAACAGACTTAAAATTCATACAATATACCAATAAATCTGAGCCAAAACAGTGTAAATATACAACACAGAAATACAAACACAACAGACTTAAAATTCATACAATATACCAATAAATCTGAGCCAAAACAGTGTAAATATAGGCATCAATATAATATGCTCTATTTCATAGCCTCATTTTATCTTGAAAAAATACAATTATTGCAAAAAAATATTCCAATCACTTCATTAAGGCAAGCATTTTAGAACTTGACTTGATTTAACAGAATAAACAATGTCTTAAGATTTTTTTTCTATACTTCTGATTAATCTGATTTAAAAGATTTACATTTGTCAATGGTTTGTATTAAATACCTGAACCTTTCTTGCCACTTGTATCACCAGGCTGAATTTATCTGTAAGTCCAGTACTGCTTTCTTCTTTTTGCTAAAAATAGTATAGGTGTTTTACAGTTTTTCCTATCCTGCTACTAATCTACTACATACAACAACCATAATGGTACTTGATATATTTTCTTTAAAGCTAATGCCACAATTTGTTTAGAAACATGAATGTTTTTATGTATTCAATGATGCCAAAAACAAACCTTAAAGGGTAGCAAAAAATGGAACATAAGTGTTAGAAGCTATGATTTTGAGAATACAAGTTTTAAGAGTTGGTTAGCTTTTTCCTCTTTTTAATGTTCCTTTAATATGTAACAGATGTGATAAATGTACTTTAATATATATATTCAATACAAGGTTTAAAAGGTATTTTTACATAGCAGTACCTTGTGTTCTTCCAGTGGCTGGAAAAAGTTGAATTTGATTTGGAATCCTCTAAAAATATAATGTAAAAAAGCATGTTCAGAAAAATCTCTTACTTTATGAATAATATCTGAAAACATAATCTACAGATTAGTTACAGACAGAATTCATAGAACCATTTTCCTTTTGTTTGCATAAATTTCTGTGGCTCCCATACATAACTTTGTTTTTCAATAAAATTGTGGATGCCAAGCATGTAGTCATAAACCAGTAATAAAATTGTGAAAAAGAAAAAAGATGGAATGGGACTTTCACAAAGTATCAATTATTTAAAAATAAGTAACAAAACACAAACTCACATTCATTATAAGAACATCACTATTAAGGTTTTTACACACATACCAGTAATCTATTTTTATTCAGAATTCAACAGCCCTTCACTCATTAACACCTAGTGGTTTTTTGTAAGAAGAATAACATGCTTTTTTAAGCTAAAGTTAAATAGGAGAAAATCCTTACTGTTAATTCTTTTAACCCATATGTTCAACTTATTTTAATGAAAATTCATAATTTAAATAATTATCACATAAAAGTACTTACAAATGATTTAAATAACTAACTATCATTCTAATGACCAAACAAAACAATATCACAGATACAAAACAACCATGCCATATGGCAATCAAATAAATCTGAAATTAAAATAAACATTAAAAATAATTTTGGAGGATCTAAATGATGATAATCTTAGGGTGAAAGTTACTTAATAAGACAAGAACTTAGAAATGGAAATACATCAATTAGTGTAACTCAGTCTCACTTTCATTAAATTCAGACACAAAACTTGATTTTCAGAATATTTTAATTATAATGTTTTGTTTATCAATTTTTAGTTACATTGGTACACATTTTTGAAATGGCTGGGATTATCAACCATTGAACATTTGATTCCTAGCTTTGGAATGCACTACACATAATTATGTTTTGAAATAGCAGTCATATTGATAACCCAAATAATTTAGTCCCTCCCCGTAATAGATCTCTCCTACTTGTCAGGGCATGAAGTCCAAACACACTAAAAACTCCTCACTTAATCCTGGATTTTAATTGTTGTTCTGTGCATTTAGGCATTAATGTAGTCATCGTAGAGCAGCAGAATATACTACATATTATTTGGGCTATCATATTGGATGTCCAGCAGTATCTGAAAGCAGGACATGTATCTATACCAAAATTGTTCTTTTTGTTTTCAAATAATTTTTCTGAATATCTATTTATAGTATTAAAATGACAAAAAGTAAAAAAAAATCTGTCATACAAACCATAAACATAAGTAAAGTATAAGATGGAGTCTTCCAAGCTAGTAACTGCTGTATTCCTTTGATTGTGTCTATATAAGGTTTTAGATCTGAACCTACAATGAGAATATTGTTCTGATTACAGAGAAGCAATATTTTAAAAACCTAATCAATATCTAATCCTTAATAAAATATTTTTCTCTATAATTCCTATTGGTTAATAATGAACATGATCATGAACAAAGTCATATTTTCTTTAAAAAAATATTTTTACTATAATTTTTCTATTCTGTATCTTTAATAGTGCCATAAAAAGCACCGAAATATCTTGTACACAGAATACTATATCAATAAATGGGGAATGTGTCCATGGGACACAGATGATGCCCCCGCTTGCATAAAACATTATAAAGAGACATAACTGAAGAATGGTAAAAGCGAAGTTACCCAAATTTGTACTTGATCTGAGTTTTGTAGTAATAAGCATTGTGTAAAAGTTTCATAACATTTGGTTGAAGCAAACTAAGGTAAGAGAACGGAAACGAAAAATTCAGCAATTTTTCCATTTGTAAAGGGGCATAAATCTAGAACGGTAAAAGTGACACCACCAAAATTCAAGATTGATCTGTGTTTTGTGGTAATAAGCATTGTGCATAAGTTTCATAACATTTGGTTAAGGCAAACTAAAGTAAGAGAAGGGAAATGAAAAAATTCAGCAATTTTTCCATTTTGAAGGGCATAACTCAAGAACAGTAAAAGTGACGCCACCAAAATTCAAGCGTGATCTGTGTTTTGTGGTAATAAGCATTTCGTATAAGTTTCATAACATTTGGTTGAGGCAAACTAAAGTTAGAGAACGGAAACATTTGTAAAGGGGCATAACTCTAGAACAGTAAAAGTGACACCACCAAATTTCAAACTTGATCTGTGTTTTGTGGTAATAAGCATTGTGTATAAGTTTCATAAAATTTGGTTGAGGCAAACTAAAGTTAGAGAATGGAAACCAATTTTTGGATGTACGGACGGACATACAGACAGACAAGGGTAATACTTAATGCGCCCTTCGCTACGGCAGGGGCATAAAAATAAGAAAAATAGTTAAGCCAACTTACTGAATCTGGTAATATTTGCTTTTAATCTACAAGAAAAAAAATGTCAACATAAACAATACACGTGATTACATAGATCTAATTGTAAAGACTAACTGATATGAATGTATGATATTAATCACTAAGTCTTGTTCACAATATGTTTCTGAATGGCTTTTATCAGATACTCCCAACACCAATAGTTTTGAAGCAAAATGTGTGTTTAAACCTGTGATTCCCTTAGTTTTTGTATCTTAATAACTTGATTTACGAGATTTGAACATTGGTAAACTACTGTTGCCTCAATTCAGTATTAATAAATGTTTTAAACTACAATATATTCTTTAAATTTTTTTTTATGCTAAAGCTTTGGCTGGATAAACAGTACCCTTATATTATACCTTTGTTAGACAATTAATTTGTGACAGTTGATGTTAACCACTGATTTGTACAATTGATGTGAAGTAGTGAATATTGCAGATGATAATTAAAGAACCTTAGTGAGCGCGCTCACATACCCCACGTCCCCACATTGTCACTGGAGAAATAAAATAACTGTAAGAAAAAAAAAATGTATAAGAAAAAAAAAATGAATCATAATTTCCTGTCGATATGCACATCTACTTAGTATGTCCTTATTATCTACAAAGTTTCATGAAATTCTGTTGTGTGGTTGGAGAGGAGTTGCGATGACAAAAGGTTGCAGTAGTATATTGGGCAAATATGTTCAAAGGGGCGTAACTCCTGGAAAAATAATTGAATTGTAATTTCCTGTCGATATGCACATCTACGTAGTATGTCCTTATTATCTACAAAGTTTCATGAAATTTTGTTATGTGGTTTCAGAGGAGTTGAGATGACAAACTGTTGCAGTAGTACATTAAAGTAAATAAGTTCAAAGGGGCGTAACTCCTAGAAAAAAAAATTGAAACATAATTTCCTGTCGATATGCACAACTACATAGTATGTCCTTATTATCTACAAAGTTTCATGAAATTTTGTTGAGTGGTTTTAGAGAAGTTGAGATGACAAACTGTTGCAGTAGTACATTAAAGTAAATAAGTTCAAAGGGTTGTAACTCCTAGAAAAAAAAATTGTAACGTAATTTCCTGTAGATATGCACATCTACCTAGTATGTCCTTATTATCTACAAAGTTTCATGAAATTCTGTTTAGTGGTTTCAGAGGAGTTGCGATGACAAACTGTTGCAGAGGTATATTGAAGCAAATAAGTTCAAAGGGGTGTAACTCCTAGAAAAAAAATTGAATCGTAATTTCCTGTCTATATGCACATCTAAGTAGTATGTCCTTATTATCTGGAAAGGTTTCATGAAATTCTGTTGTGTGGTTTGAGAGAAGTTGCAATGACAAATGCAGTAGTATATTGGGCAAATAAGTTCAAAGGGGCGTAACTCCTGGAAAAAAAATTAAATCGTAATTTCCTGTCGATATGCACATCTAAGTAGTATGTCCTTATTATCTACAAAGTTTCATGAAATTTTGTTATGTGGTTTCAGAGGAGTTGAGATGACAAACTGTTGCAGTAGTACATTAAAGTAAATAAGTTCAAAGGGGCGTAACTCCTAGAAAAAAAATTGAATCGTAATTTCCTGTCGATATACACAACTACATAGTATGTCCTTATTATCTAAAAAGGTTTCATGAAATTCTGTTGAGTGGTTTTAGAGGAGTTGAGATGACAAACTGTTGCAGTAGTACATTAAAGTAAATAAGTTCAAAGGGTTGTAACTCCTAGAAAAAAAAATTGAATCGTAATTTCCTGTAGATATGCACATCTACCTAGTATGTCCTTATTATCTACAAAGTTTCATGAAATTCTGTTGTGTGGTTTCAGAGGAGTTGCGATGACAAACTGTTGCAGAGGTATATTGAAGCAAATAAGTTCAAAGGGGCGTAACTCCTAGAAAAAAAATTGAATCGTAATTTCCTGTCTATATGCACATCTAAGTAGTATGTCCTTATTATCTGGAAAGGTTTCATGAAATTCTGTTGTGTGGTTTGAGAGAAGTTGCAATGACAAATGCAGTAGTATATTGGGCAAATGAGTTCAAAGGGGCGTAACTCCTGGAAAAAAATTAAATCGTAATTTCCTGTCGATATGCACATCTAAGTAGTATGTCCTTATTATCTACAAAGTTTCATGAAATTTTGTTATGTGGTTTCAGAGGAGTTGAGATGACAAACTGTTGCAGTAGTACATTAAAGTAAATAAGTTCAAAGGGGCGTAACTCCTAGAAAAATAAAATGCTTTGCTGGGGCGCAGCTTGATACGACCGCAGAGGTCGATTCCTGAACATTTGGGGCAAATATGGACACAACATTCAAGCTTGATACAGCTCTGAATTTGGATTGTTATTAAATATTTGACACAGCATAGGTTTCTGACACAGAAAGAATGTGGTCTAAGAACTTGAATTTTTTTTAATTTACCTATTATGGTCCAATGTCCAAAATCAAAATACATGGTTAGATTCAGCATATCAAAGAACCCCATATGTTCAATTTTTGTTAAAATCAAACAAAGTTTGATTTTGGACCCCAACTTGGACAAACTTGAAAACTGGGCCCATAATCAAAAATCTAAACACATGTTTAGATTCAGCATATCAAAGAACCCCAAGAATTCAATTTTTGCTAAAATCAAACTAAGTTTAATTTTGGACCCTTTGGACCTTAATGTAGACCAATTTAAAAAACGGGACTTAAAATTAAAAATCTAAATACACGGTTAGATTTGGAATATCAAAGAACCCCAATAATTCAATTTTTGATGAAATCAAACAAAGTTTAATATTGGACCCTTTTGACCTCAATATGAACCAATTTGATAGCGGGGCCCACAAATAAAAAATCTAAATACATGGTTAGATTCAGCATATCAAAGAACCCCATATATTCAATTTTTGTTGAAATCAAAAAAAGTTTAATTTTGGACCCCAACTTGGACCAACTTGAAAACTGGGCCCATAATCAAAAATCTAAACACATGTTTAGATTCAGCATATCAAAGAACCCCAAGAATTCAATTTTTGTTAAAATCAAACTAAGTTTAATTTTGGACCCTTTGGACGTCAATGAAGACCAATTTAAAAAACGGGACCCAAATTAAAAATCTAAAAACACGGTTAGATTTGGCATATCAAAGAACCCCAATAATTCAATTTTTGATGAAATCAAACAAAGTTTAATTTTGGACCCTTTTGACCTCAATATGAACCAATTTGAAAGCGGGGCCTACAAATAGAAAATCTAAATACATGGTTAGATTCAGCATATCAAAGAACCTCATATATTCAATTTTTGTTGAAATCAAACAAAGTTTAATTTTGGACCCCAATATGGACCAACTTGAAAACTGGGCCCATAATCAAAAATCTAAATACATGTTTAGATTCAGCATATCAAAGAACCCCATATATTCAATTTTTGTTGAAATCAAACAAAGTTTAAATACTGGACCCTATCTTGGACCAACTTGAAAACTGGGCCCATAATCAAAAATTCTAAACACATGTTAAGATTCAGCATATCAAAGAACCCCAAGAATTCAATTTTTGTTAAAATCAAACTAAGTTTCATTTTGGACCCTTTGGACCTTAATGTAGACCAATTTAAAAAACAGGACCCAAAATTAAAAATCTAAATACATGGTTAGATTTGGAATATCAAAGAACCCCAATAATTCAATTTTTGATGAAATCAAACAAAGTTTAATTTTGGACCCTTTTGACCTCAATATGAACCAATTTGATAACGGGGTCCACAAATAAAAAATCTAAATACATGGTTAGATTCAGCATATCAAAGAACCCCATATATTCAATTTTTGTTGAAATCAAACAAAGTTTAATTTTGGACCCCAATTTGGACCAACTTGAAAACTGGGCCAAAAATCAAAAATCTAAATACATGTTTAGATTCAGCATATCAAAGAACCTCATATATTCAATTTTTGCTAAAATCAAACAAATTTTTATTTTGGACCCTTTGGACCTTAAGTCTACAATTTGAAAACTGGACCCAAAATTAAAAATCTAAATACACTGTTAGATTCGGCATAACAAATAAATAAATGTGATCAAAGATTTTACAAATCTAATGCGCCATTCTGTGCAATTAAAGACTTCTAGAAATTTTTCAATATTTGAAATTTGAAAGAAAAAAAAATTTTTGAAGAATAATTCTTTTAAATTTCTGAAATCTGAAATGAGAAAAAATTGACCCCCCACAATTTCTTTTTATCCCCCCCCCCCTTTTTTCCCCCAAAAAATTCTTTCCCTCAAGATATGGTCATAATCTCAATTCAAATTTCCAATGGAGTTGGCAACCATAATTACCCATTTAAATTTACCATAGTGCTAACTTAATCTATTTTATAATAGAATTAAAAATATAGTGTCAAATCTTTCATATGGATTTTTTTTGTAAAAAAAAAAGATGCAACATTTGCAGATATTTTTAGTGGTCTTCCTTTATAAATATGCATTTCTTTAAACATAATTTAAAAGCAGTGTAAGGGAAGTAACCAAAACGTTGTATTTGGATTACCTCCCTTACACTGTTTTAAATTATCTTTATTGTTCATTAAGCATTACTTTATACATAATTTAAAAGCAGTGTAAGGGAGATAATTTCAATGATGTATTTGATTTATCTCCCTTACACTGCTTTAAATTATGTTTTGTACTAAAGTATTTGTCCATTAACCAGGACAACCCTGTTTTTCCCCCTTTTTTGCCCCTAATTCCTAAACGGTTTGAGCCATAACCCCCCAAAGCAAATCCTAACCATCCCTTTGTGGTATGGAAACTTGTAGTATAATTTCAGAGAGATCCATAAACCGTTCCACAGTTATTGTCTGGAAACTAGAAAATGCTTATTTTTGGCCCCTTTTTGGCCCCTAATTCCTTAACTGTTGGTACCATAACCCCCAAAATCAATCCCAACCTTCCTTTTGTGGTATTTAACCTTATGGTCAAATTTCAAAAAGATCCATTCACTTAAACTAAAGTTAGAGTGCGAAAACCAATGTGTCTTCGGACAACGACGACGACGACGACGGACGACGACGACGACGCCAACGTCATACCAATATACGACCACAAAATTTTTTTGCAGTCGTATAAAAATTGAATTGTAATTTCCTGTCGATATACACAACTACATAGTATGTCCTTATTATCTAAAAAGGTTTCATGAAATTTTGTTGTGTGGTTTAAGAGGAGTTGCGATGATAAGAAACAGGACTGACGGACGGACAGACGGACGGACAGACAGACAGATGGGTCAAAAACTTTATACCCTCCGCAACTCAGTGCATGGGGTATAATAAGCAGTGGTGAATCATTATCTAAACTAACTGTTTAACAGTGAGTGGATCTCCTTCATCATTTTCATTCTGTTCTTCAGGCTCCTCTATAAAATCATCCATAAATGTATATATAGAATCCACTATTCTTCTCCATAAAACATCAAACTTTTTATTTCTTGGTCGTCCTTTCTTTGTTGACTTTGGTGGTGAAGGGGTTTTTGCAGCTAAAAAGTTAAAATAGATTTGAGGCTCTGAAATGCAGCTTAAATTATAGATAATTGGTTCAGTGTTCCTAGCTCTACTTGTGGTATTTAGGTTTTTTTTTGGTTTTTTTAACTACATAATCATATGTATTGATCATTTAGTTTTTAGCATAGATCATGTTGTTGACTTTGACCTTTGGATTGTTCCACATATTTCATGCCTTTGAAAGCCTACTATATAAGAAAGGTTAGTCAGAGTTTTGAAATGAAATGTCAAATATGCATTTCTCGTATTTTAAATAGATTAGACCGTTGGTTTTCCCGTTTGAATGGTTTGACACTAGTAATTTGTGGGGCCCTTTATAGCTTGCTGTTTGGTGTGAGCCAAGGCTCCGTGTTGAAGACCGTACTTTGACCTATAATGGTTTACTTTTATAAATTTTGACTTGGATGGAGAGCTGTCTCATTGGCACTCATACCACATCTTCTTATATCTATATATATATTTCACCTTCTTCATATACAATTAAAATCTGTAAAAACAAATTTTGATGTTTACCTACCCATAGATAAACTCATTTTAAGCAGTAAGATTTTATTTACCCCATTCATTATACTTCAAGTTAAAATGCCAGATTTTGATTGGTTTATACAAGGGAGACATTCTACTCTATCCCATAGCTTTTATATTTTATTACCCTTCACAGATCATTTAGAATAATACATTGAATAACACATAGCTGAGAACGGGTGATAGAGCAGATTGTTACCCCTCAAAAAATGTTGCCAATCTTGGCCTCAACTCGGTTGACAATGTTTTTTTCAGGGTAACAATCTACTCTTTCACCCTCTCAGCTATGTATACCTTATATATTGTTTACCTTATGTACTTGATTTAAAGATACTTAAGTTCATTTGTCTATATGAAGTACTATTTCTTCTCTACTAACCTGATTATTTGATAAATACATTGACCCTTCCCTCAGCACTATCAAAGCTCTGACATACTATTCTTCACTACTGACATGACTTACTGGACTTAATGGATACATTGACCCTTCCCTGAGCACTATCAAAGCTCTGACATACTATTCTTTACTACTGACCTGAATTACTGGACTTGATGGATACATCAACCCATCCCTGGGCACTATCAAAGCTCTGAATACGTTTGTTATCACAATCAATCTCATATTTTCTGTAATAACAAAAAAAAAGTGTTCATATTTGCTTACTGTAAATTCAGAAATTAATGCGTGCATTTATTATTGCGATTTTGTCATTTTAGACTAAAATGCGATTTTAATTTTTGCGATATTGAGAAAAATCCTGTTTAATTCATATAAAAAATTTCAAAATGCGAGTTTAAATTATTGCGATTATAACCCTGTCGCATTTTTCGCAATAATAAAAACATCGCAATAATTTCTGAATTTACAGTAATTTTTTTTTAAATCTGGTATCTTTGTCAACTTTTTATTCCAACCTGTTTAACCAAAGAAGCCTATCATTCTAACTAATTCTCTTTATATAAATACACCTGTAATTTTTAAGAGAATATTGAATTTGAAATGTTATAAGAATTAAAAATTTGCCTGTAATCAAGAAGTTTATTATCTCATGATCATACTTTGCAAACAAAGAAAGCTTCATCTGATCTTTAATAATTATCACAGAATTGATAATAATAAAATAAGAAAATGTGGTATGATTATAAGATGTAGTATAATTGCCAATGAGACAACTATCCACCAAATGACATAGATGTTTGTAATTATAGGCCACCATACAACCTTCAACAATTGAGCAAAACCCATACTGTATAGCAAACTATAAAAGGCCCTGACATGACAAATGTAAAACTATTCAAAAGAGAAAACCAATGGCCTGATTCATGACATTAAAGAAACCATTTTATCAAAAGAACAGTGCTTGTATTGCCTTTCATCATCTTAAAAAATGCTGGAAGGTCTTCAGTCATGGAATAGGACTTAAAGCTCATACCTTTCAGTATTGTCACATTGACTAATTGGCAGTAATCTTAATATGTTATATACAACTTTATATGTTATTCAACAAACATTTGCATGAGTTAATATAAACTACCTATAGAACTGGTGACATCTCCAATAAATTCTATCATAATGTACATTTTTACATTACAATGTTAATACAGGTCAGTAACTGTATAGGACCAGTTACCATTACCTGCCATTTTATACCATACTAATCTTTTGAGTAAATACCGCTAACAGCTGTTAATTGAAGACAATCTGCCACATCATTCCAAAATTTTATATCTGATAGTATCGAGTAGAATGATGTAAAATCGCTGCTTAAGACGCTCTCCTTTCAGCAAACTAACATTTACAGGCAAGAAATTAATTTTAAATAAAACAAAAATTAGTATACAAATTTCAAAATTAAACTGTCTGCTCCTTTAAATGACAGTACATTATCTTTCTTTCAAGCTACATCAAATCTTTATTTAATGATGAGTGAGAGAAGAAAACATGTTTCATCAAAATTCATGGACAGATTAACATGTGTTTGGTCAATCTATCAAGCACTTCTCTCTTTGCTTTTAAAACAGCAAAACATGATATCACAATGGAAATGCAGAGAACAACATATCCATATAATACCATGGTAACATCATCACATCAATCTTCTTTTCATTGATAAATAAAATGATTAAAAGACCAAGACTATGATGCTAAATCAAACTTTTGGTAACATTTATATGTAAAAAGAGTATTTTAAAAAGAACTATTTATAAAGGTATTTGCAATTTGTGATTTTTTTATGGAAGGACTGTCTTTTGGACCCCCTCTGCCCATGGAATAAGCATAGACATAAGACAAGATTATTTCAAAAGGAGGTCTTGCAAATTATTAAACTACCAAAACAAATAATTCTTTTTTTTAACAGATTATACTCACTTAAATTTCTCTTCTAACTTTTTGTATCTGTTTCTTTCAATATCAATCTCTGCTTTTAGTCTATCCAATGATTCTTTGTCTTTATAACCACATAGTTCACTTACTGAATAAAAAATCATATAGCTATGGTTACCTATTGCTCATCTGAATGATACCCAAAGATAGTTAAAGTTACTTGTTTATTCATATGTATTATATCTCATACAGTTATCATTAACTATTGTCCATATGAGTTATAACTCATACAGTTTTGGTTAACTATTGTCCATATGAGTTATAACTCATACAGTTTAATGGTTAACTATTGTCCATATGAATTATAACTCATATGGTTATGGTAAACTATGGTCCATATGAATTATAACTCATACAGTTATGGTTAACTATTGTCCATATGAATTATAACTCATACAGTTATCATTAACTATTGTCCATATGAACTATAACTCATACAGTTGTGGTTAACTATTGTCCATATGAATTATAACTCATACAGTTGTGGTTAACTATTGTCCATATGAACTATAACTCATACAGTTATGGTTAACTATTGTCCATATGAATTATAACTCATACAGTTATAGTTAACTATTGTCCATATGAGTTATAACTCATACAGTTTTGGTTAACTATTGTCCATATGAGTTATAACTCATACAGTTATGGTTAACTATTGTCCATATGAATTATAACTCATACAGTTATGGTAAACTATTGTCCATATGAATTATAACTCATACAGTTATGGTTAACTATTGTCCATATGAATTATAACTCATACAGTTATCATTAACTATTGTCCATATGAACTATAACTCATACAGTTGTGGTTAACTATTGTCCATATGAATTATAACTCATACAGTTGTGGTTAACTATTGTCCATATGAACTATAACTCATACAGTTATGGTTAACTATTGTCCATATGAATTATAACTCATACAGTTATAGTTAACTATTGTCCATATGAACTATAACTCATACAGTTATGGTTAACTATTGTCCATATGAACTATAACTCATACAGTTATGGTTAACTATTGTCCATATGAACTATAACTCATACAGTTATGGTTAACTATTGTCCATATGAATTATAACTCATACAGTTGTGGTTAACTATTGTCCATATGAATTATAACTCATACAGTTATGGTTAACTATTGTCCATATGAATTATAACTCGTACAGTTGTGGTTAACTATTGTCCATATGAATTATAACTCATACAGTTGTGGTTAACTATTGTCCATATGAATTATAACTCATACAGTTATGGTTCATTTTTTTCCATATGAACTATAACTCATACAGTTGTGGTTAACTATTGTCCATATGAATTATAACTCATACAGTTGTGGTTAACTATTGTCCATATGAATTATAACTCATACAGTTATGGTTAACTATTGTCCATAAGAATTATAACTCAAACTGTTTTGGTTACATTTTGTCAATATAATTTGCAACTCATACAGTTATGATTAACTATTGTCCATATGAATACTGCATTTAGCTGATTCAATGCCGTGTAGACTAGCAAATCCTCCTCCAATACTATTAAATAAAGATATGACTGTGTTGAAATATACAATCAGACCTATTGTTCTATTGCACTTCCAGTGCAAATATTAGTCCAACAGCATTAATCAGCAACTGTTTGAAATTCAGTTCCTAGTAAAAATTTTCAAATGCTTTCATATAATCCATTTTTGCAAATAAGCATCTGGTAACTTTAGTTATGTGTTTGAAAGTCTTAAGCTTGAGTATTAAAAAAAGTTTATAGTTGGTGCCTGATTTAAAATTTCAGTTGTTGAGTTCAGTTTGTTTCCCTGTTTGCTTAGTTAAGTGTTTTTGTTTTTGTTATGAACTTGTTGTGCTGGAAGGAAGGCTAGGCTTTGTCTTAGACATGCAGGCAACTCAAAATATAATTCATGTATGCACATCCATTCATTTTCAATCTTATTTGACTAAATATTGTAAATACTCAAAATTGAACTTGGCCTTTTATATTATTCAGTATTGACATAAAAACAGTGCTTTAATCATGCAAGATTATATTCATGTGAAAAATGTGTTACTAACTATTGAGACATGGAAACAATTCTGGTCATGGAAATAATATATTTTCAGAAAACTATGTTAACTGGGCTTGGATTGACTAGAGACTTGTAAACTGTAGAGAGAATGATATTAAAGCCTATGTAGTTTAATAAAATTATGAGCAGCTCAAAGAAATTTGTATGAAATCTTTAACTTGGGCTGCTGAGAATTTATCAAGAAATTTCTTTGCAGGTTTTTATTCATTGGTTACCATAAAATAATTATAAGAAACATTCTTACTCTAAATAATTCCTTGTTCTTATGTAAAATTGAGAATGGAAATGGGGAATGTGTCAAAGAGACAACAACCCGACATAGAGCAGACAACAGCTGAAGGCCACCAATGGGTCTTCAATGCAGCGAGAAACTCCCGCACCCGGGGGCGTCCTTCAGCTGGCCCCTAAACAAATAAGTATACTAGTTCAGTGATAATGGACGTCATACTAAACTCCAAATTATACACAGGAAACTAAAATTAAAAATGATACAAGACTAACAAAGGTACATGTATGAGCAAAAAATCTCAGATAAATATATAGTGATTCAAAATTGATTTAAACACACAAGTGACCAATCTAACACACAACTTACCAAGGCTTTGATTTTCAATGGTAACTGTAACAAGTTGTTCTTCTAAATGTTTCAGGTGCTCTTCATATACTTCATAGCTGCTAGCATCCATTTTCTGACAAAATATATTACAAATGTAATCTGGTAACTGTAGTGAAAGACTAGAATTTTAACTATCTTTGACATTATATATACAACAATCTCCAAAACAGAGCTTTAAAATTTCATTATATTTTTTTATTTTTGTTGATATTAAAAAATACAAAATTTTTCTCAAATGACAAATTACAGTAACTAATTAGCCAAGTAAAATTGCTTCTTCACAAAATCTGTCTGTCAAAAAAATATTCCATCACCTGAAGGATGGTAACTGATAGATTCTCTTTTGTGAATTTTCAAATTCAAAAGGTAAAAACAAAGCTTAAGAATACATTCTCTTTTATCATGTTAAATAAGTTATGTCTTAATATTTTGTTGTACCTACAAGTACAGCATACCCAGAGCACATCCCTTTACATATAAAATGGGACCATGTTGCATACCAAATATCATTGACTTAACATTAGTGGTTCATCTTAAACTGACCTAAACACAAACTAATACAGGTAAACGAAGCAAAAGTTTAAAAGTTTAAAAGTCAATAGACCATGACTGAGGGGGCGGGGCCAAATAATCTCCATGGAAATGAGATATGCCAATGCTTAAACAACTGTATACCAAATATCATTGACCTACCACTAGTGGTTCCCCATAAACTGACCTAATACATGTAAACTAAGCAAAGTTTAAAAGTCAATAGACCATGACTGAGGGGGCGGGGCCAAACAATCTCCTTGGTAATGAGATGTGCCAATGCTAATACAACTGCATACCAAATATCATTGACTTACCACTAGTGGTTCACCATAAACTATACCTAAATCACAAACTAATACATTGTAGACGACGCCGCCGCCTACGCTGGAAACAGCATACCTATGTCTTGCTTTTTGAGTATGTAAGGCTTTCTGCATTTTAAGAACCGTTATTTCCACACATTATGGTAGATTTTTTTGCTCTTTATACTTTTAAACATTTCTTTTTTTTGCTTTGTGGGAAACGTTCACATCCAGTCTGATAGGAGTGTTACATGGGATCAGGTCGTTTAGTCCAAAAACAATCTGGCCCCAAGTTGAACAACCAAAGTAAAATATAGTATGAGTAGGACAATCTTTGAGAAGTGTATATAATATAATAACAGAAAAGCTGATGGATATACATGTACAGTGCATAGGTATACCCTATTGTTTGCTATACATGACATGTACATGTCACTTGTTATATTATTTTTACCTAGACGTCATAATTATTTGGACTAACCTTGATCTTGATACAAAATGACACTGGGGATCGACAGTGCTTTTTTAATTGCTTTAAACGATTAGGTTTGGAAGCTGACAAAACAACGTGTCGATCAAATTTTCACAGTTTTACCAAGGATTTGTATAGTAAGATACTTGGTTTTACGTTTATATTTAGTAGCGTTTGTGGACTTTATTCAATCAAACTTACTTTTTAGATACACGGTCAGACCAGAGTGCAGAATAAAACATATAGGATTATTTTATCACAAGTTTGGTCGATAGGCATTTAGAATATAAACACGGGTATTCTAAATAAACTCATTAATTCATAAACATGTGACTTTTGTTTACAAATACTGTCGACTGGTACTGAAATAATTAGTGTATCATCGCTTATCTCAACTAAAGTACAGAAATATATTGGAATCCAGGTTAGGGTGAGTTTAAAAATAGGTACAACAACGGTTATGAATCCGGAAAAAGGAAGTAACATCAGAGACATAATACAATGTTATATGTCTCTGGAAACACACACACACAAATAATCAACAAACCCATAAAAGATATACCAGAATAGTTTTGACAAGTAAGTACACTGACGTGAGAGTTATTTCTATTCTTATTTTTTGGCAAACCCTAATACTTTTATGATGACATGGGGGTCCAGGTCTGGTTGTCCGATGGAGTTCACAGGCACTTATCTCTGATTTTTTTTACCTATATACTATAATATATAAAAGTATAAAGGTGTTTTTTTTCTCAGACAAGTATGTATGTATGAATGTACGCAGATCCCTCCGTTTTCGGAACACCCCTCGAGAGCTGCGAGGGTACAGTGGAGTCCGTGTACACTCCTTATAAGGATTAATGGAGATGTGTCACTGACGTATTTACAACAATATTTACAAGGACAATCCCCAACCCAACACAAAGGGAGTGCCAGGACACCGGGCAGAGTCTGTTATTATGGTGGAGGAAGCCGAAGTACTCGGAGAGAACCACCAGGCTGCTCGGCGGGAACAGACAAACCGAAGAGATATCAGCAGATTGATCTCCAGGTCAAAGTCGGTGGCAACTTTGACCAACAGAGGCCTCCAAAGTACCCATTCTAGTTTAAAGTTCGGTCTGGGTACCAGAGATGTGTGTGAGAGGGTGAAAATCACCCTCTTCTGATGTACTGAAATTTCCAGCGCCCCGACTCAGAATCGAACTCGGGACCGCTTCAGCACTGTAGCCATCGGTCTTAACCACTAGACTACAATTAAACCCACAGAAAAAGTGCCTGTGGTGGGGTTTCTAGGATAGACAATCATGGACAAAAGTTGCAGAATAAAGGGTGGACTATGCTCCCTCTGCTCTGTCATATACATGAGTATAGTTCCACATACTTTAGATTTGACAAACAGTGATGTTGAAGTACAACTTGAAATTGTTACGCTGTCTGTAAGACACAAATGATGCCCAGCCTAACCATAAAAAATATAAAAACACTATTTATGATGATCTATCTTTTATTTTTATTCTGAATGTCTACACTTGAAGGACTGAATGTCCAGCCAAAAGGTTTCAACTTTCAGTTTTAGTAGTCACCAAGTTCAACTTTCTATTTCCAGTGGTCAGACATCAAGTTCAACTTCCCGGTAGTGATTAAATATTTGACAATACTAAAAAATCTTATCGATTGCATTAGGGACATTAAACTGTAGTAGTACAAACGATGTTTTCAATTATATAGCAAGTGAGAAGGAAATGAAGTCCAACTACCGGTTTTTGTGAATATCTAACATCCCCCTTTCTGACTTTTAGTACAAAAAAATACTAAGTCCAAATACCTGGCATTTTAAGAATATTTGACAAAAAAGTCTAAATCCTGTAGACATGCGCACTTCTATTATGTGTACAAACAACCTACAAAATATTTTTTTTTAAAAAGCTGTAGCTCAAACACTGTAGAAGGAGATAGCCGGACACACGATGTATCTATGTACGAACGGACAGAAGGACGGCCGAACGGGTGGACGGACAGGGTTAAAAATAGAGAAAAATAGGCCAAACAAATAATGAGTAGAGAATAATAGGGTGTAAAAATATTTTAAACAAAATAGAGAATAATGGGCAAACAAGATAAATAATAGAGAAAAAATGGTCTAAAAATTAAAGAACAAAGAAATGAAGGACCCCCATCTAGACCCCCATGCGTGCAGAGCGATTAGTTTCATAAAATGTGTTTTGAGAAATTACTAGCAAACACTTAAACACCCAAAACTCATAAAAAATAAAACAATTTTAAATCTATAAACATATGGGTACCAATACATTTTTATTCTCTGGTTGTAATCACAACCTGAATTCCAGAACAAACTGTTAAAATCAGTTTGAAATGGCTTGTCACTTCAGATTGGCACAAAACACAAAAAAAACCAGCTAAGATAAAGACAAAAGATACAAACTATCGTTCTAGGAATAGTAACTGGAAACAAGTCTAAAGCTAATCACAGCTATTAAATCAATCATGTTCTCCCATACTAAAGTATCAATCAGAACATATCAATCGGATTTAGTAATCAATCGGATAGGCGTTCTGAAAAAAGCATGGCCTTGTGCAAGGCCAAAATATATGTGCGTTGTATCAACAGAACAATAAAAAAAAATTCAGCAATTTTTCCATTTGTAAAGGTGCAAAAATCTAAAATTCAAACTTGATCTGTATTTTGTGGTAATAAGTATTGTGTATAATTTTCATAACATTTGGTTGAGGCAAACTAAAGTTAGGGAACGGAAACGATAAATTAGGCAGTTTTTCCATTTGTAAAGGGGTATAACTCTAGAACGGTTAAAGTGACGCCACCAAATTTCAAGCTTGATCTGTGTTTTGTGGTAATAAGCATTGTGTATAAGTTTCATAACATTTGGTTGAGGCAAACTAAAGTTAGAGAACGGAAACGAAAAATTCAGCATTTTTTTCCATTTGTAAAGGGGCATAACTCCAGAGCGGTTAAAGTGACGCCACCAAAATTAAAATTTGATCTGTGTTTTGTGGTAATAAGCATTGTGTATAAGTTTCATAACATTTGGTTGTGGCAAACTAAAGTGAGAGAACGGAAACGAAAAATTCAGCATTTTTTTCCATTTGTAAAGGGGCATAACTCCAGAGCGGTTAAAGTGACGCCACTTAAATTAAAATTTTATCTGTGTTTTCTAGTAATAAGCATTGTGTATAAGTTTCATAACATTTGGTTGAGGCAAACTAAAGTTAGAGAACGGAAACGAAGAATTCAGCATGTTTTTCCATTTGTAAAGGGGCATAACTCCAGAGCGGTTAAAGTGACGCCACCAAAATTCAAACTTAATTTGTGTTTTGTGGTAATAAGCATTATGTATAAGTTTCAGAACATTTGGTTGAGGAAAACTAAAGTTAGAGAACGGAAACCAACTTTGGAACGTACGTACGTACGTACGGACGGACGACGGACGGACGGAAGTACGGACGGACAAGGGTAAAACTTAATGCCCCCTCCGCTACGGCGGGGGCATAAAAAAACTGTATAAACAATACATATTTAGTTATGTGATGATTTATTAAAATCAACATTAGTACCGATAAAACAATATCAAAAGATCTTTCTAAAATGTTGAATTCCAGAGCTTGCACTTCCTATCATGATTTCCTTGATAGAGGGTTGCTGCTCACAAGGAAGATATTAAACCAAGAGTTCCAAGTGGTGAAGTTGAAATCATTCCTTCGAAATTTTTACGAGTTGGTTGACCGATATGGAATATCGGTGTCACAGATGAAGACGGATATCTTCCAATTGTCGTAATCACAATCCCGTCCTCTTTTCCTCGAATGTGACATACTGAGTTAGACGTACCACCGGGTTTGTACTTACCTTAGTAACAGGACGGGTCCAACATGTGGCGCAAAGGTTCGGCTTACCCTTCTGGAGCACCTGAGATCACCCCCGGTTTTATGGTGAGTTTCGTGTTGCTCAGTCTTTATTTTTCTATGTTGTGTTTTGTATATATATACTGTTGTTTGTCTTTTGGTCGTTTTATTTTGTTATGGGGATGTCACTTTGTTTTCGACTTGTGAGCTTGAAAGAAAAAGTTTTTTCAAAGAATAAATAAGTTTACATGGGTCATATATAAAACCAATTTTCAAACTCCGTACTTCACCGTTAAACAATAGGATTTAGTATTCCATGTGTACAAAGAATTCAACAGGTACTATTAGTACAACCAAACTTCCAAACTTAATCTTTGTATCTATCAAGGATTTATATAGTAAGATACTTTATAAATCCTTGTATCTATGAAAGAATTAAGTAAACAGTTTATTAATAGTAATCTGTGGTAACGAAACCCCTGTCTTATTATTTACCAGTTATGCATAGATCGCGTTCATTGAAAAACAGTCACAGACTTAACGAACGAGTTGTTCAATATACACACCATATAATTAATAAACAGCTGCGCAATGAGCGCATGATACGCCCGTAGCATTTTTTAAAGAATAAATTTCAATAACTTCTCAATGTCATATCAGAAATTTGTGAAAAACTAAAGGGAGGTTATCTTAATTGATATAAACCAGTCACCAAAGTTTAATGAAAACTGCTCAAAGCACTTTAAAGGTATTGTCCGAAAACTGGAAAATCACCCCTTTTTATGAATAAAATCCCATAACTCGGAAGGGTAAAATCTAAAATTTATAGAAATTGAAAGGGAGCTTACATCAATAGACATAAACAATTTTCCAAAGTTTCATGAGAACTGCTGAAAGCATTTTTGAGTTATTGTCCGAAAACAGGAAAATCCCCCTTTTTTATGAATAAAACTCCATAACTCGGAAACGTAAAATCTAAAGTTTATAAAAATCAAAAGGGAGCTCATGTCAATAGAGATAAACAATTGACCAAAGTTTCTTGCAAATCGGTGAAAGCATTTTTGAGTTATTGTCCGAAAACTGGAAAATCCTCCTTTTTTTAATGAATAAAACCCCATAACTCAGAAAAAGAAAATCTAAAATTTATAAAAAACGAAAGGGAGCTCACGTCAATAGATATGAACAATTCACTAAAGTTTTATGCAAACTGGTTGAAGAGTTTTTGAGTTAATGTCCGAAATGTTGACGACGGACGGACGGACAGACGGACAACGGTATACCATAATACGTCCCGTAAACGGGGGTATAAAAATGGGACGAAAGGAACATCAACGTATTGTCAACCCTTTTATCAATTTTCTAAAGTATATTCTATAAATTTTTCCCTATTTTCAGTTAAGAACATTCAATTTTGTAGGCCTTGTAATGCATGCTTTTCCTATCAAATGCAAAGAAAACTTCAAGTTAACATTTAAAATAAATGGTTATTATAATTATGTATTTTCAGTGTGAATAAAAGTTGGTTTACAACATATATTGTCACTATATCTACGCCCTATATTTAACACAACCCAGGTGGCCATTTACCCTGTGACATAGACAACTGCGGGATCAAAAAATAACGAAAGTTCGCAACCGAGTGTCATTTCCTAAAAGTACGAGTTGGGTACCTTGTTTTATAGGGGGAACAAATTTCAGAGGCAAATGCCTGGTGCAAGTGTAAAATTGTTATCTGTTTTAAATCTATGTACTATGTAAATTTCATGTGTTGGGATGTGGAAGGTCAAAAGTAATGTCGGTTTGATGCAAGGAGAATCTGCACCTCCTTTTCTGTATTCATCCTATGTAAATTAATGACATGGAAATTGAGCTTACAAGTTAGACTGTCAGTCCAAATTAATTGAAGATGCTAAATTATAGTATTTGGTTATGTATGCAGATGATACAGTGAAAGCGTTGATGGGTTAAAACAAAACTGAGTGTTAACATATTTCTAGAGACTATGATTTGAACATTAATAACTTGTCTAAAACCAAAATTGTTGTGTTTAAGAATGATTGCCACGTTGGAGCAAACGAACTAGAGGCCCACCTGGTAAAACAGATGTGGTCTACTTTTGATGACTTTTAAATGCACGGACTAGTTATTTTTTTGTCACATTGAATATTTCCGTAATTTGTACCTTTAACCTAGCAACGGTAGTATTAAGAAAATAACCTTAAACTGCAGCAACAAAAAATCCCAACTTTTAAGATTAATAAATTCAGAACAGGTTGCCATTATTTTCTAAAATTCAGCGTAGATTTGCAATTAAATTTTCAACTTAGGTCCTTCAATTTTCAAATCAGGTTAACAGATTTTTTTAAGTTTCAAGGTAGATAGAGCTTGTCGTGCTGGACATTTTTACACTGTTGGTTTTCCTCTTATTGCTAAAGTTTCGAAATATTGGCCAAAAACTGCAGTTTGAACCCTTTGTTCTAGTTTTAGCTACAGTGACTAGATTGATTAGAGTAGAAGATTTGCAAAGAAAAGTTTATGGACGACAGACAAAGGATGACCGAATGAGGACACACAGTGATGTCTTTTTTATAGTTATATAGACTATCCAGATACTTTACAATATCATCGACAAAACTGACAACTATTAATATGAGCCGCATATATTTGTAAATATATATTAGTTTCACACCCGGCTTAAAGAGTGAAACCAGAAGGTTTTATAATAGTTGTTCTCAAACATCACCGAAGACACTATTAGTCGACAAATTCGTAAGGTGTTCTGCGAAACACTGTGTTTCGCCTGCGATTCCTGCTGTCATTGTAAAAGTGTTATTGTTGACTTTAAAAGTGAGTCCATTTATCAGTAATTTAGAATTTAAAAAAAATTTCTTTAGATGCTATTTCTTGGTCTTGAAGATTAGCTTCTGTCCAAGTTTCATAACAATCCATGATGGTTAACAAATCTATCTTGTAAAAAGATTTAATCCCAGACTGTCTGTAAATGTTAACTGTAAAAGACGAAGTCCATCTATCAGAAAAATACTGAAAATGAAAGCAAAATATTTTCAATAGTTTGTTTCAGACAATATATCATAATCATAAAAAAAGCTTCTCCAAAAGTTTCATAATATTCTACATGTATGAAGGTTTGAAAAAGTAATTGATGTGTAACAAACTTTAACCCCAGACTGTATCTACTTGTTAACTGTAAAAAAATCCAAGTCTTTTTATCAGTTAAATACAGAAAAATGAAAAATAAATATTTTCAAAATATCACTCTGGATACTGTATTTTGGTAATTAACAAGTTTCTGTCCAAATTTTATAAAATTCCATGAAGGTTTGACAAAGTTATTGGTGACTGAAAAACTTTAATCTCAGGCTAAATCTGAATATATTAATGTTAACTGTAAAAAAAAACAAACTAAGTCCATTTATGAGTAAAATACAGAAAAATGAAAATAAATATTTTCAAAATTTAGCTCTAAATACTGTATTTTTGTAAACAAGCTTCTGTCCAAATTTCATAAAATTCCATGAAGGTTTGAAAAGTTATTGATGTCCAAAAAAACTTTAACCACAGACTGAACTTAAATGTTGATGCCACCGAAGCCGGAATCTAGGATCGCTGTATCTCACTTTCGTGACATAAATATCGCAGACTCAACAAAAAGCTCATCTGTGGAGTAAAACTGGTGCGGTTTAATGTTATTGTTTCTGCTTTTTATGGACTTGTTCCAGTTGATGTATTTTTCATTATACAACATATGGTCCAGATATGCAAAGAGGGGAAGGTGTGCGATCTTTAAAAACTGGTTAAACCCCACGATTATTTGTGTTTGTCCAAGTTAGACTATCTAGATCAAAGAATCAGGTGTTGGTAGTTGGTACAATCCATTGTACTGTCTAAATTTTTGGTAATTCATGTTATCCTTTGTATGTGTAATACATGTACAACAATATGCCATGCTATTGTCACTCAAAAACCCATTTTTTAAAGGCATCTTCCTTGTAAACTCACAACATCTTTAAAAACTATCATCCTGAAATTTCTTTATTGAATGTATGATTTGATGAAGATTTCTTACCAACTGATCCAGATTGCAATATAATTAGACAAGGTTGGTAAGAACATACCAGCCCAGCAACTGATCCAAACCTCGATACATCTAGAAAGGATGGCAAGGAATACCAGCCCAGTATCTGATCCTAACCTCTATATACCAAGAAAGGATGGCAAGGACATACCAGCCCATTAACTGACCAAGACCTCAATATACCTAGAAAGGTGGAGATTGGCAAGGACATAACAGCCCAACAACTGTCCAGACCTCAATATAACTAGAAAGGTTGGCAAGGTCATACCAGCCCAACAACTAATCCAGCCCTCATAAACCTAGAAAGGTTGGCAAGGATATACCAGACTGGCAACTGCTTAACACATCAATATACCCAAAAAGGTTGGCAAGGACATACCAGCCCAGCAACTGATCCAGACCGCAATATCCCTAGAAAAGTTGGCAAGGACATACTAGTCTAGTAACTGATCCAAGCCTCAATATAACTAAAATATTCGTAAGGGTTCCGCGGAACCCAGTGTCTCGCCTACTTTTGCTGTTAGTTGCATGCTCAACAAAAATGGGGAAAAAATTATAAAAATTTTCCTCCAGATACTATCTTTTGATTGTAAGAAGCTTCTATCCAAGTTTGGTAAAAATCCAGGATGGTTTATGAATCTAATAAGTGTTTTAAAAACTTTAACTGCAGACTATATGTAATGTTAACTAAAAGAAAAACTAAGTCCATTTATAAGTAATATACGGAAAAACAGGAATTTTTTTTTTACCAAATTTCCTTCTAGATACTAGCTTTTGATCATAAACAAGCTTCTGTCCAAGTTTGGTACAAACCCAGGATAGTTTAAGAAAGTTATTAAAATTTTAAAAACTTTAACCACAGAGTGAATGTAATGTTAACTGGCAGAAAAACTAAATCCATTTTAAGTAAAATACGGATAAACAGTATTTTTTTTTTACAAAATTTACTTCTGGATACTATCTTATGATCATAAACAAGCTTCTGTCCAAGTTTGGTAGAAATCCAGGTTAGTTTAAGAAAGTTATTAAAATTTCAAAAACTTTAACCACAGAGTGAATGTAATGTTGACTGGCAGAAAAACTAAGTCCATTTTTAAGTAAAATATGGATAAACAGGTTTTTTTTTACAAAATTACTCTGGATACTATCTTATGATCATAAACAAGCGTCTGTCCAAGTTTGGTAGAAATCCAGGATAGTTTAAGAAAGTTATTAAAATTCCAAAAACTTTAACCACAGAGTGAATATTTGTGGATGCCGCCAACCACAACGACGACGGAATGTAGGATCGCTATGTCTCGCTTTTGCGACAAAAGTCGCAGGCTCGACAAAAAGGATGACAAGGGCAACTGATCCAGAATTCAATTAAACTACAAAAGTTGGCAAGGTTCATTCAATCTTGTTAATTGATCCTGAACTCTTCTAAAATGGAAAGGATAAACAAGTGCATTGACCCCATCAACAGAACCAGGGTTAACTGAAAAGTAAGACAGAAGAAAGCAAAAACAAGGAAAAACAAGTCATTGATATTGTAAATGATCTATGTTTCCTTTGTTAACAAAAACTCTGTAAAGACTTTTTTTCCCGTTTAAAAAAACCTTTTATTAAAAATATCACAAAAAATACATTATTATATTTAACAATAATTTATTGTTATAGATTTTCAATAGAACTGATTTCCTCATTGGGAGGAAAATTATCTTTAAATCACTTTAAAAAAATGTGATTTTCCAAAATCAGCAACAATAATCTGTTGTATGTTGAAATTCTACATTAAGCAATTAAAGTCTCACAGTAGCCTATATCTCTCACCTGACAATCATCATGAATTTGACATCAGTAGGGGCAGATCCAGGGTTTGAGGAATGGGGACATATTTGTCCACAATGGTTACAACAGCAAGGGCAGCGAGGCCAATATTTTCTGGTGATCATCCAGAAACCTTTAATCTTTAATGTCAACATTTTCTATTCAATCATGGACACTTACTTTACAACAGTTAAATTGTAACTTTCACTTGACCTATACTTAACTGTTCATAACAATGCCAAAAAAGTATGAAATTATTTGTTCTAGTTATATTCTGGTTAACATCCAATAATCATCAATATCAGCATTTTTGTTCAATTAAGGGCTATAACTCTAACACATAAATGTTAAAACTTAGAACTTGACCTGTATTCACTGTATTCAATGGTTTATGGCACCTGAATTCAAAAGTATTTGGTCCCAAGGTACTTTTAAAATTATCATCCAAAACCAAGATATCAGGAGTCTACGATTTACCAAACAATATTTAGAAATTCATGAAGACTTCAATATTTAAATTTATCTAGTTTTCATTATTCCAAATTTCTTCTATATAATAAAATGGCTATCTGCTTTGTTCATATTAATAAATCATAAATATTGATAAAGATTTGACCCAATATTATATCACAAGATTGTCATATATCAATGGCTTATTCTTTAGACTTGTTCTTAAGGCCATCTACAACAAAACATCGCAGTTAACTTAAATAAAGCTTTAAATGGGTCAATGGTCTATGTTTGAGGGAATAAGGTTCACATCTTCTGAAAAGGAGTTGGAACAGATTAGTACATGTTATACACCATAAAAATATGAATCAGCCATACACCTATCATTAGCCAACAAGCTAATACTATGACTGATTTATGTCCATATTATAAAGATATGCATTTAACATAAATGTTCTGTCAATTGTATCTTTCTAGTCATACCTCATATGAAAAAATAAATGGGGAATGTGTCCATGGGACACAGATGATGCCCCCACTTGCATATCTTATAAAGTTATAAAGGGACATAATTGAAGAACGGTAAAAGTGACACTACCCAAATTTGTACTTGATCTGAGTTTTGTGGTAATAAGTATTGTGTATAAGTTTCATAACATTTGGTTGAGGCAAACTTAAGTTAGAGAACGGAAACGAAAAATTTAGCAATTTTTCCGTTTGTAAAGGGGCATAACTCTAGAACAGTAAAAGTGACACCACCAAAATTCAAACTTGAGCTGTGTTTTGTGGTAATAAGCATTGTGTATAAGTTTCATAAAATTTGGTTGAGACAAACTAAAGTTAGAGAAGGGAAACGAAAAATTGAGCCATTTGTAAAGGGACATAACTCTAGAACGGTTAAAGTGACGCCACCAAAATTCAAACTTGATCTGTGTTTTGTGGTAATAAGCATTGTGTATAAGCTTCATAACATTTGGTTGAGGCAAACTGAAGTTAGAGAACGAAAAATTCAGCAATATTTCCATTTGTAAAGGGCATAACTCTAGAACGATTTAAGTGACGCCACCTAAATTCAAATTTAATCTGTGTTTTGTGGTAATAAGCATTGTGTATAAGTTTCATAACATTTGGTTGAGGCAAACTTAAGTTAGAGAACGGAAACCAACTTTGGGACATACGTTGTACGTACGTACGTACGAACAGACAGACAAGGGTAAAACTTAATGCCCCCACCGCTACAGAGGTTTAAAGTTTAAAGATCTGTTCATCAGAACTGGTCATAATTGGTTTGCTAATATGAAAAATCTTGACTCGATAATTAAAACAAAGAAGAAGTGCATAGCATAAATAACTTACAAGTTCAGCAACATTTATTCTGCATTTAAATGGCTTTGATTTCTAACACCTATCTATATCTTAAACCTTATTATTGAAAAAAAACTTATTGAATACATACAATAAATGAGTTCAAATAATCTAAAAGAGCTATGTAATTTGGGTAACTTCACATTTTGTGCACAAAAATTAAGGTCTGGCATGAAATATGTTTCACAACACCTTTTGCTATTCTATGTATACTATGTGTATTTTATGTTGTATGTCACATAGTTGTTACGTCTTGGGAAATAAAGATCATTACTATTATATCACAATTCTATCATAGTAAAACTGTGCATAAAAATAACAGGGCTTGAAAAATCCTACCTGGTAAATCATAATTACCGATAAATCTTTTACTATCTACAAGTATCTATAAAATAGGCACAATAGAAATATGTATTTCAACATGATATTTTTGTTGTTGTTGATAATTTATTGTTTAACTAGTGTATATACTGTGTACAAGTTCACCAGGTGTTACAATTTTATAATTTAACCATTATTTACCATGAATAATTTGAAAATTAACAGTGGTGGATCCAGGGGGGGGTTCTGGGGGTTGAAACCCCCCCCTTTTTTTGACAATCAATGCTTTAGAATGGGGGCATATGGTTGGAACCCCCCTTTTAAAAATGGCTGGATCAGCCCCTGATTAACATATTTTAACCTTACATTTAGCCTTATCCTCTTCGGCATATTCTGCAAATAAGGACACCGGATTGGGACAAATGTCATCAAAATATCTTTTGGTGATTGTTATAAACTTTGAATCAGTGTTATGCATATGATTGAAGCATGCAGTCATATGGTTGTTATAAGCCAAATCAAAGACAGTGTGCCCAGTTTATCATATTATATTTTGAAGTTCACAAAAGTTTGACAAAATAATGATGATCTTGTACCGAAATTCGATACCAATTATAATTTGTACACAATATATATACTTATGCACCTCCTTACTTATAATGAACAGAGTATTTTGTACATCAACTTAAGAATTAATTAATTATGCAGTTCAAAATAATATTCTGTCTTCTTGCTGTTGTATTTTCAAAAACATGATTTGATGGTTTTAATTCAATTCTGTCTTTTTAACTTATAATTTGTCATTTTACATTTTCTTTCTGTTAAGGATAACAGCACACACTGAAGATTTGTAACAATTACATTTCCCCTTCGAATTTCTGAGCAAAATAAATTTTTGAAATTGACAAAGGAAATGCTGATAGAAAATTGTTGATTTTTGAGAAACATTAATAAAGCATTAGAAACCAAACACTCTGAATGACATTATGGCACATATAAATCACAGCTATGATCTAATTAATTTAAAGCCATGTCCAGTATCAATTTGCTTTGGAGGAAGCCATTTCATTCGCTTCCTTTTCAAACACCTTGTTAGACAGTGACAACAGAAGCAAAGGCTTCCTGTACCTCCAATATTCACAGCTTTTATCAAAGGCTTCATACATCTTGGGAAGCTACTATCCCAATGATTATATATTTCATCTACTGTTGGTAAATGGAATGTGAAATCTGTCCAACATTTAGAAACTTTATATACTGCTTTCACTGTTCTCTCTTTCGCTGACCATCCAGGGAAAATTTCTGCCTCAGCATTAAAATGTACATAATCTTGTGTAAAAGTTCCAACTTGAGCACAGTTACCAAATTCTATGTCCTTGGATTTCTGGAATGTACAAGTTTGTATTGCAACATATTCTCCCCAAACTCTCTGAACATCTTTTGCCCACATATAGGAATGTGTTGTATCTAGAATCAAGATTAATCTGGTACCACAACCTGAGTTTTTAGATGCCCACCATTCTAACAAAGTCTCTAGTTTCAAGCCACTATTATCTGTAACAAATTTATAATAAGATATGTTTTAAATCATAAACAATTTCCATATCTTAAGATGTTTTATGATAAGTGATTGCAAAAGCAATATTTTAATAAATGTATGCTATCAATTCAGTGATTACCACACTTTAAAAGTTCACACATTGAACAGAACCTCAACAAATCTACATTGTATACACTTGACAAAAATTCTAGTTGGAAATTTAAGATGATTATCATTTTTAAAAGTTGAACCTCCTAAAAAAATGTTTAATAGCCATAAGTGATATCCTTAAGTAAGACACTTGTACCCTTAAGTAATCTGATTATAATAAAGAAATTACAAATTTTAGGAAATCTCAATAAATCACAGGATAATCTATAATAAACTGTTGACACAGAGATATCTCTCACGTTTTGTAATTTTGATAGTATAATCATACAGGTAAATGTTGAAATTAAAATTTAGACATGTTAACTATGCAAATCATTCAAAGTCAATGCACCATGACTGGAGATGCAAAGCCAAATAACCTCAATGGAAATGAGAAATGCCAATGCTTATAAAACTGCATACCAAATACCATTGACTTATAATTATCATGAGTGGTTCCTTTTAAACTAACCTTAACACAAACTTTGACTTGTAAACTATGTAAAAGTTTCAAAGTCAATAAACCCTGAGAGGGTAGGGCCATATAATCTCTATTGAAATGAGACTTGCAAATGCCAATATATCTGCATACCATGCAAACTATCATTGACTTAACATTAGTGGTTCATCTTAAACTTAAACTAATCACAAACTTTAACATGTAAACTATCCAAAGCATTCAGTCAATAGACCATGACTGGGAGGGGTGTGTGACCTACCAATAAAGATTCCTCATAAACTACCTAATCACAAACTAATACATGTACATGTAAACTAAGCAAAAGTTTCAATGTCAATAGACCATTACTGAGGGGGCAGTGCCATATAATCTCCATGGAAATGACATGCGCCAATGCTTATACACCTTCACACCAAATATCACTGTCCTACCACTAGTGGTTCCCCATAAATTGACCTAATCACAAAATAAATATTGTTGATGACACCGCCGACACTGGAAACAGCACTTCTAAGTCTCACTTTTCTACTTTGAGATGTTAGGATTTAATTTAGATCTGTACCTATTTATTGTAATCATATTTTTTCTATAATATCAGGACTTTCATTAAAAACAATAAAAAAAAACAACATTTAAATATAATTAATTTTTCACATTTTCCCTTTTTCATGTTTAATTTCTGTATTTTACTTTGTCGTGTTCATCCATGGTAGTGATTTGTGTTTTTTTCTCTCTCTGTTTATTTTGCCAATTTTCTATTTAGTATTTCTGTATTTGTATTCTCTCCTGTGACTGTTGTGTTCTTTCAATGTCCACTTTGGCATGTTCTACTTAGTATTTCCGTATTTGCTATGCTCTTTGGTGACTTTTCTGTTGTGATCTTTCCATGTCTGTTTTGCCATGTTCTATTTAGTATTTCTGTATTTGGTGTGCTCTTCAGTGACTTTTCTGTTGTGTTCTTTTAATGGCTGTCTGTTTTGTCATGTTCTATCTAGTATTTCTGTATTTGCTATGCTCTTAAGTTACTGTTCTGTTGTGTTCTTTCCATGTCTGTTTTGCCATGTTTTGTATAGTATTTCTGTATTTGGTATTCTCTCCTGTGACTGTTGTGTTCTTTCAATGTCCACCTTGGAATGTTCTATTTAGTATTTCTGTATTTGTTATGCTCTTTGGTGACTTTTCTGTTGGGTTCTTTTAATGGCTGTCTGTTTTGTCATGTTCCATCTAATATTTCTGTATTTGCTATGCTCTTTCCATGTCTGTTTTGCCATGTTTTGTATAGTATTTCTGTATTTGGTGTGCTCTTCTTAAAGACTGTTCTGTTGTGTTCCTTTCATTGTGCATGTTTTGCCAGGTTCTATTTAGTATTTCTCCATTTTTTATGCTCTTCTGTGACTTTTCTGTTTTGTTCTTACAATGTTCTATTATTATTTCTACATTTGGTGTGTTCTTCTGTGACTATTCTTGTCATGTTTTATTTATTATTTTTGTATTTGTTATGGTCTTCTGTGACTTTTCAGTTCTGTTTTCTATCAATGCCTGTACTGCCATGTTCTATTTAGTATTTCTTTATTTTGTATGATCTTCTGTGACTGTTCCTTTGTGTTCCTTTCGTTGTCATTTTTTATCTAACTTCTGTATTTTCAAATCTTCTACTATACTTCTTCTTGCTGTGTTGCCATATTTTATTTAGTATTTCTGTAATTGGTATGCTCTTCTGTTACTATTCTGTTTACTTGTGTTCTTTTCACCATTTTTTGTTGTTGTGTTCTGTATTTGCTATAACTGTGACTGCTCTGTTGTGTTTCTTCAACTTTTTTTTGTCAAGTTCTATTAAATATTTCTGCTTATAGTATAGCATGGAATTCTGTTAAAGTTCTGTTGTGTTCTTTTGGATCTCTTTATGGTTTTACCTTTCACAGCTGTGTTGTTGAATCCTGTGTTTGTGTTTTTTAAAGTTGTTTTTGTTGTTGATTTGTGTGTCTGTGCTTTTTGAAGTTATTGTCGTTAATTTGTGTTTTTGAGTTTTTTAAAGTTATTTTTGTTGTTGATTACTATTCCAGTGTCAGACTATGTTGTTGATAGGTGGGGTTTTTAATGTGCAAGTATTGTCTTCTTCCAGTTTCCATGGTGGAAATGTCAATTGTTTTTGATTTGTGTAATCTCTATTTTGCCTTGTAAATTTCTTATTATTTTTGCATGTTACAAACTTCTTCTAATCTTTATTAAGGGCACATGATACAGTTTTGATCCCACAGTGAATTTTTGAAGAAAATGTGCATACCAGCTATTTTCACCTGGTCAATTCAAATATGTAATAAAAAAATACCTTCATGTGCTACATTTAGAGATAAATAGGGTAGAAATTTTAAATATTTAATGAAAGTTTTGGTTTCTTGGAACTTCTATCCTTTCAACAGACATACCTAACTTTTGTTTCAAAAGATAATCACAAGCAGACTTTTGTAAAAAAAAATTCAGAATATCGTCTACACATAAGTTTATTTTAATTTGAGTAACAAAATTTTGGAAATATTCAATTTTTTTCTCTCATGATTATAGAAACAAACAGGTTTTTTTTTGTTGTATATTTATATAATTATTCAATTTAAAAAAAAATCATCGGAGATTTTTTTCATTAAAATCGGTACACATAATCTTCATACATAATAAATCTGAATGTCATTTAAAAAAAAGGGGTCAATGTACTCGTTTTCAAGCTAATGATCAAAATCAGCCAATATGCATCTTTTACCGATATGTCACAGTTTGACGTCGCGAAAAACATCATTTTACGTTAGCAACGTCATTACTTCCCCTGTAACTGTATCGTATGCCCTTAAGTCAATCATCTTTAAGTATAACTTTCATTTGAAAAATATATTAGTTTTTCAATTACATGAATTATTTTCTATGCTTTTCAATGCGTACAACTTTTAATGAATTTGTGTGTATTTCAAACTTACCAGATAAAGCCCATTCACCATTTTCATATACATCTCCACTGAAATACAAGATATAAGAGTCATACTTTGGTCCATCTGACATTCTTCTGTCAAAGAAGGCCTTCAGTTTAGACTCTAAATAGTCAATTGCTAGCCCACTTGTTGAGTAATCACAGCCATAGTTGTCTATCATGTGATAGTTGAAGAAATAACTGACTTTGTTCAAAGTGGTTGTTGCCCTTGTCCCCATATCTTGCATTGCCTCTTGTGACATAATATTTACCCTAGATCCTCTCCTGAAATAAATAAAAATGGTAGAATAAAATATAGGTACATGACCTATGCATATTATTCGCCATATACGTGTGAATAGCTACAACAGTAATAATATCAACAGAAATAAATAATGTATTCATTCAACCAGCAAAACTTTGATTAAAAACACAAATCTATCATATCTGTGTATAAAATTACACTTGTGTATTGTTGAAGACTGAGGAATCATACAATGTATTCTAGATGTCTTTTGGTAATTTGTGCCATTGGGTTTCTATCATGTCCTTATGTTCACAGTCATCAACAATTGTTTTTTTTTTTATGATTTAGTAATTTGAAGTTTTGAACTTGTTTTCTACTCACTGCATGCCAAGCCAACTCCTTACAAGAGATGACCCAGGTCAAATGAAAACTGTCAAAGAGCATATTATGCTTATGTGCATGTTATAAATATTCACATACAAAACATTTTCTATGATCTTCTATTAATGTTCATGTAATATTATTTCCTATGAATGAAACTTAAGAACTGGAAAATAAAAATTGATAGACCCCCTCCTAAAAAATGTTCAGCACAATCATTCTAAGAACCATTCATATCAAATGTTGTTTAGCTATAATGTTTAGCTACTACATGTACTGTTAATCATAAGAAAAATATGATCTCATTTAATTAATTTCTTACAATCACCAGTGGCGGATCCAGAACTTTTCATAAGGGGGGGGGCCCGCTGACTGACCTAAGGGGGAGCCCCCCCCCCCCCCCACCCCCCCCCCACCCCCCCGGATTCGCCTATGATCACTAATGTCATACCAATCCAGTAAGGATCTCTGCCTAAAAGTGGCTCAATGCATCATCTAACATTTAAATTTGTATAGTTTAAATCTTGATGTTTTCAGCTTGGATGATTTGATTAAAGTTTAAGTCCAGAGACAAATATTACATGCATATCAGGATGAGAACAAGTTAATGTAGTATGAATATGAACCCTGCTTTGTACTAGACAGATATACTGAGCCAGATATTTAACATGCTAGTTACACAAAGCAAGAGTCTGCATGAAGACATAACATCATAAATTGGTATCCACAAAACTAAAAGAAGCCACAGTGTATGATAAATCATAACTGTAACCTTAAGTACTAAGAGATCCCTGTAATGTCATGAATGTTTTATAAAAATAATGTTGAAAGTTTTCTTCAATTTTTTCTTCAAATATATGCAAGTTTATAAAAGTTACATTCACATTTTTCTTGCATATATTTGTACATACACTTAGGCTTATAGAATATCACAACTACAGAAATTATCTTACTTATGACCAGTTACAGGAGCAATAACAGCATAGCCTGTTGCTGTGCCACCAAGATTATCGCCAAGGTACCAGAACAAACTAAGTGTCATACATTCTATTGGAAGTACCAGCAATATCATTCCTAAACTGTATGACTTTCTGGTTTCCCATCCTAATCCTCCAAGTAGAACTGTAGTCAACAAAGTTATACAGATGAGTCTTTGTGAAATCAAACTGAAATGGCGAACTCCTTTTGAAGCCATTATTCTGCTCATATTCTTACGCTCGTCAGTCAAGCTGTTATATGTAAGATTGCATTCAGTGATTTTGGACATCAGTTTCCAGCATGTTATAAAGTACGTCAAATGAAAACACAGCCAGATACAGGCAAAGACAACAGTTAAAGGTACAACAATGTACCACTCTTTGTGAGTGGCTGACAATTTGCCAATCACAGCACCAGTAGCAATGTTAAAGGCAAATACAACAAGAACGAAAATGTATCTTAAAAATTTGGAAAGATTAAAAAATCCTTGCCATCTTTGAAGTGTTGTTAAACCAGAAAAATATAAATCAATAAATGGTTCAAAGGAATGCCTTGCTGCAAAACAGGCTAGTCCATAAAAGTTTCCTGACAACCCAACCTCCTGAAAAATCACAAAAACAGAAACACACACCATTGCTATAAAACTCAGTAATCCTAGGAATGATTTTAGTCTAATAGACGCTAAATTTACATTAAATGCAAGCACCAAAAGTGAAAAAGATAAGGCATCTTTTCCAGTTACAAGTGTTGAGATCATTAATCCAATACTTTCTAGAATTTGTACTGTTGTAAACATCTTTGCTTCATGTTTGACTAAATGTAACATCCTCTCTAACAGATTCCAACACCATGTTAATACAGCACTTGTTACCAACAAAACATTTGTCACTTCTTGTGACATTACAAACTCTATCTCTTTTTGATCTGCAAATATTATTATGCCAAGTATACATCCTAGCCATATATGTAATAATGTTTGTCCAATAAGTTCAAAGTTAAAGTAATATCGCAAAGCACAGGAGACTGCAAAAATGAAAAATCCAAGTATGGCAAATCCTAGAATCACATTGTTCTGTGTAAACTGCCATTGTGTGTACAGTCCCAAACCTAATGCTACAACTAATACTACACTAGGCAAATATCCCAGGTAAGTCAGATTAGCTTTTGCTTTACGGTCAACCATGTCATCCTCTTTGGCAGCTTCTGTCTCCATCATGGAACTTTATTATATATGTATTGTTCTTGTTCTTGATTGAAAACCTACAAAATAATCATAATATTCTATATCAAAGTAGGAAATGGAGCAAAAATTATATACACAACAGTGTGGGGGAGGGGATCCCCTACCAGGTCCATTTCAACTATTCAAAGCTATGTCACATGTTACCAATTGCTTGAGGTGTTTCTGTATTTGTTGGTTACAAATACATAAGTGCATACACTGAAATGTCTCGCCTGCTTTACTGACCAATGATTTTATGTTGATAGTCCTAAATATAGTTTTACTACAAGTATTGCATAAACTTCACATGATCCAAGAAAATGAGGTCAAGTTCTGATAAACCAAGCCAGAAATACATGTACACCTTACAATCATTTCATACACCAAATATAGTTGACCTATTGCTTATAGTATATACATGTACAAGAAACAGACCATGGAAACTTTATAGTGACCAATGAACAATGAAGATGAGGTCAAGGTCAGATTAACCCTGCCAGTCAGACATGTACACCTTACAATCATTCCATGCTTTAAATATAGTTGACCTATTGTATATAGTATCTGAGAAACAAATTTAACCAGGAAAACTTAACATTGACCACTGAACCATGAAAATGAGGTCAAGGTCAGATGATAACTGCTAGACAGAACTGTCGGAGTGAGACGTATACACCTTACAATCATTCCATACACCAAATATAGTTGACCTATTGCTTATAGTTTAAGAAAAACAGACCAAAACATAAAAACTTAACATTTAGCAATAAACCGTAAAAATGAGGTCAAGGTTGAATAAAACCTGCCAGACCAGAGGCCGATTTAGTGGAACCCCCTCCCTTCCCCCTTTTTGGAAAAAATTTGGTTGATTATTTAGGGAATCACTGAAGCATGACTGGAGTGGGCCCCCTCTTTAGCAGTCAGTAGGCCCCTCTTATGAAAATTTCTGGATCCGCCACTGCAGACTTGTACATCTTGTAAAATATTTCCATACATCAACTACATGTATAGTTGACCTATTGCATACAGTATTAGAAAAACAGACCAAAACACAAAAACTTAAATTTAATCACTGAACTGTGAAAATGAGGTCAAGGTGAGATGACACCTGCCAGTTGGACATGTACATGTACACCTTACAATCATTCCATACATCAAATAAAGTTGACCTTTTGCTTATACGTGTGTAGTATCTGAGACATGACTTGACCACGAAAACTTAACCTTGTTCACTGATCCATGATGAAATAAGGTGGAGGTCAACTCCTGACCGTCAAGTGAAAACAGGCATGAGGACCTTGCAAGGTACGCACATATCAAATATAGTTATCCTATTACTCACAGTAAGAGAGAAATTAAGATTACAAAAAATTTTAACTTTTTTTTCAAGTAGTCACTTAACCATGAAAATGAGGTCAAGGACAATGGACATATAACAAAACATAAGGCATCTATATACAAAGTATGAAGCATCCAGGTCTTCTACCTTCTGAAATATTAAGCTTTTAAGAAGTCAGTTAAACATTATTTATTCTGTTTGTGTACGTAACAAAATGAGTAATGCTCATTTAACATAAGTTTTTATAGCAGTCAAAATTAATTAGTTCTCTGGGGAAACTCACCTCAGATCAATCAGCCTGGAAGATTTCTGTAAATTAATAGTTATTCGATGAGGACGCGGTGTGTCAGTGTAAGATCACCCCGATGGCCGGAGGCCAGAGGGTGATCTTACACTGACACACCAAATTCGAATGTGATAACTATTTCACATCCCAGCTGTTCTAGAATGTATAAAAAAAACATTTATGCTTCATCAAATCTAGTTTAGAACGCTACACAATCATTATAATATACTTTATATATTACTATATAGTATATGCCCTTTATGAGCCCCAGACACAATGTTTAAATATGTTAAATTAACAGTGAGTTTGTATCCCGTCTTCCTGGTGTAGGGGTATGAATCGTGGGTCTATATGCTAAAGGTCTTGAGTTCAAACCCAACATAGACACTGGATTTTTTTCTACATAAATTTTGATAGTTAATCTTTTCCATATAAATTTATGTAAGTTTTATTGTGGATTTGATATTCCCGCCAAAATGATACAGAACAAAGGTAAGCATGCAGAACAAAGAAACTCAAGCTAGGGTGATCTGGTAGAGGTGATCCAGCTCAGATCACTCCTGGTAGAACAAAGGAGCTCGGATGTAAGTACAAAGATCATTAATAAGCTGATTGTTAAATTTGTAGTTTTTAATTAAACTTTACTATAAAACAAGCTTTATATATAAAAAAGAAGATGTGGTACAACATAAGAACAAACTATAATAAACTGCTTCGCTGAGCGCAACTGGATACGCCCGCAAAGGTCCAACCCTGAACAGTTGGGACAAAAATGGACACAATATTCCAGCTTGATACAGGTCTGAATTTGGATTGTATTAAATATTTAACATATTATAGGTTTCTGAATAAATGTAGTCAAAGAACTTGAAATTGGTAATATGAATTGAGTTTATATTCAATTAAAGATTTCTTGCTGTTGTGCAATACACTGTGCTGTTGCCCAATACTAAGTAAATTTGTTGTCAGACTATAAACAATTAAAGTTCAATTAATTCTCAATGTCATATTAAAAATTTATGAAAATGTAAAGGGAGCTTAAATCAATAGATATAAATAATTCACTACAGTTTCATGAGAATTTCTGACAGCATTTTTGAGTTATTGTCCAAAAACTGGAAAATCCCCCCTTTTTTAATGAATAAAACCCCATAACTCAGAAATGTAAAATGTAAAATTTATAAAATTCTAAACGGAGCTTACATCAATAGATATAAACAATTCACCAAAGTTTCATAAGAACTGCTGAAAGCATTTTTGATTTTTTGTCTGAAAACTGAAAAATCCCCCTTTTTTTTATGAATAAAACCCTGTAACTCGGAAATGTAAAATCTGAAATATATAAAAATCAAAAGGGAGCTCTTGTCAATAGATATAAACAATTCACCACAATTTCTTGCAAGTTGGTGATAGCATTCTCGAGTTATTGTCCGAAAACTGGAAAATCCCCCTTTTTTTAATGAATAAAACCCCATAACTCAGAAACGTAAAATCTAAAATTTATAAAAAACGAAAGGGAGCTCACGTCAATAGATATAAACAATTCACTAAAGTTTTATGCAAATTGATTAAAGCGTTTTTGAATTAATGTCCGACATGTTGACGACGGACAGACGGACAGACAGACGGACAACGGTATACCATAATACGTCCCGTAAACGGGCGTATAAAAATCAGTTGAAAAAGGCTTAACTCATCAGATGGATACAAATAGAAATACACCTTAAAAAAAACACAGAGTGGACGTGGCCGGGTACAAATGTACTTGTACATCCCAACAACAAAAAGACACTAAGTACCAATCTGAGAGTACTCGCAGTTATTGACAGCTAGTTCAAAGCCAATTACAACTAGTAAAAAAAATCTTGCATCTAAGACTAAATTATCAATCAGTACACATCCAACATCCAAATGATTTAGTGTATCATGTGTATAGACGTCATAAACAGTCGGAGAATAACATGACCTTGTGCAATGCCAAGATACAGGTATCGACAGATTGTAGATCCATGAAAGTGCATATGTATATAACAATAATATTTAGTTTGCTTTTAATTTACTGATAACAAAATCAATATTAATACCAATAAAAACAATATTCAAAGATCTAATTACAGTGTTGAATTGGTAACCTTTTAGAATAAGTTTATTTAAAGGATCGATAAGTTTACCAGGATCATTTCTAAATTTCCGGGCACGCTAAACAATATCTCCGTAAAAATGAGGATGTGCTATCCCGTTTGAAATAAGTTTTCTACAGGTACAACCAATCTCAAAACCAAATCTTTATATCTATGGAAGAATTTAGTAAAGGTTTTAAGTAATTTTTGGTAACGAAATTCCTGACTTAATAATTTACCAGTAATACATAGATTACGTTCATTAAAATCTAAAACGTCACAACAGACACGGGCATAGCGAACGAGTTGTGAAATATAAACACCGTAAGATGGTGCCAAAACATCACCATCCAAAAAAGGTAAATTAACAATAGGGAATGAAAAATCGTCCCTTTTGTCGTAAATTTTAGTGTGGAGTTTCCCGTGTAAAACTGAAATATCTAAATCTAAGCAAGGACAATTATTACCATTTACATTTGATTTATTTAAAGTAAGTTCCTTTGTTTACATTGAAAATGAAGTCATATATGAATTCCTAACAGTCATTCCAACATTGGATACATTTCTGTAATTCAGTTATTTTTTCACCAGAAATTATGCTGGGAATTTAATTTTTTTTGGCAATTTGTAAAAGACTTATTAATTGTTCAGCCCCAGTCGTGAAATCAATTACAATGTACATGTATGTAGGTTATCTAGTTGTTTTAAATGATAGTGATTTTTGGTTTCAAATGTCTTAATTTGTAAAATTGCAAATAAATGGTGGCCTTAGTTATATACTAATAAGATTCAAAATCATTTAACTGTAGTTTTATTTTAGGAAAAAAATCAGTATTTAAATAGTTATTTATATACAGACTTAGTTCTCTTTCACACTCAGGGTTCTCACTTAGGCGAGTCCATGAGTCCTAGACTCATGAAAATCTGTCTGGACTCACCATTTTCAAAACTGGTGAGTCCAAAGATGCATCAAGATTGAAATATTTTGTATAAACTGAACACACATATCATCATTTTAAAGCAAAAGTTTAAAAGAAATCTGAATTTCATTTCTCTATTAGCATGATTAGGTCATGGAGACTAAAATGATAAATTATATTGCAATAAAATATCTTCTTCTTACTGTTGGACTCACCATGGCCAAAAATGACGAGTCCCTGGACTCGCCTTCAAAAATCCTTAGTGAGAACCCTGATACTTGCCTCATATTATCCTTATTAATGGGTATTACATGTATTATACCCTGAAATGGGTATCAATTTAATTTACAGTTATAAAAAATTAAACTTTCGATATCAGGATATTTGTTGTCATGCCATGTAATTATGAATTACTTTTCTATTACTTTCAAATATTTGCTTGGACATTTAAATCATTTTTGGCTTTTCTGATGCAATCACACATCATGCACTTGTATATCGTAATTTTGTGTATGCAATATGTCAAATATGAATAATGATGTGAGGCAAACACAAATAACAGATGCCCTTGTATTATTTGTTGATGCCAGGTGACTTTATTCAGTTGTCATTGGTAGACAGCAAATACTTTTGACATTAAATGGAAAAGGTCAATTTAAAGAACCAAGTGGCAAGTAGGAACGTCTATCCCTAAAAATAATAAAGGAAATATAAAAAAGAAGATGTGGTATGATTGCCAATAAGACAACTCTTCACAAGAGACCAAATGACACAGAAATAACAACTATAGGTCACCATACTGCCTTCAACAATGAGCAAAGCCCATACCGCAAAGTCAGCTATAAAAGGCCCCGAAATGACAAATGTTTTGTAAAACAATTCAAATGAGAAAACTAACGGCCTAATTTATGTACAAAATAATGTACGAAAAACAAATATGTAACACAGCAACAAACAACAACCACTGAATTACAGGCTCCTGACTTGGGACAGGCACATACAGAATGTGGCATGGTTAAACATGTTAGAAAGCGCCCAACCCTCCCCCTAACCTGGGACAGTGGTGTAACAGTACAACATACATATAAGAATGAATTATAAAAATCAGTTGAAAAAGGCTTAACTCATCAGATGGATACAAATAGAAATACATCTAACAAAAACACAGAGTGGACGTGGCCGGGAAAGTCAAGTGAATTACATTTTAATTTAAAGCATCCTTGAAATTAGACAAAAAAAATTATACCTACAATTAGTAAATTGAGGGGGTTCCTATATTTGTACAATGTAGGTATAACATGTTAAACAGTGCACGTATAAAAGTTTGTCATTTATTTCTATTATGATACAAGGGTAGAAATGGCCTTTATTGTTCAGCATCCATTTTTCCTACAATTTCCTTAATTTTTTATCATCATTCGTCAAATCTCATTATCTAGCTTCCATTTAATAGCATCAAATGGAGTTAAATGTTAAATTGTTAATCGTTGACGTTATTCTAACAAATATTTTACTGTCATTCGTCAAGTTGGGTTCCCCATTCCTAACCTACATGTATGATAAGATCATAGTCGACCTTCCCATGGATAGAAACAAGTGCCTGTGCTCTGATATAATTTACAGATATAGCTATTTAAATTTAACATGTTTTTTTTTAAAGAAGTAAATAGTGGAATGTAATCAATTACACTTAAAAACAATTTTATTGTAATGTAATCAATTACACTTAAAAACAATTTTATTGTAATGTAATTAATTACTAAAATGGCATGTTATAATTTTCCCCAGGTCTGATGACAGCTATTATCATGAACTTAATAAATGTTTTTTAAGAATGAAAATTCTGAGGTGGATAGTGTTTGAACTGTAAACTTGTATCCAATATTTATGAGAAGTCAATTGATTTTAGATTTTAAGTACTACATTATTTGATGTGCATGTTATTTATATAAAATTAAGGCTCAACTGTACAGCAGTGGAAAGCTTTTAGAATTTTATGATAAAGAGGATAGTGTTTGAACAGTAAACGTTTATCAGTGGGCAGGAGTTATTCGTTGGCAGAATATATAGATTGTGAAAGGCTGGACAATTAGATTAAGTATTAAATATTTAATTTCGTTTATATGGTGATGGATTAGTCTGCATGCTGTAATTAAGTTAGTGTTTTATTAACTTTAAGTTTATGAAAATAAACTGTAAGCCAATTTAAGAGTGCTCCGTGTGTAAAGGTTAGGGTGCAAATAAGCACGCTTTAGAAGCGAAGCTTCTGGTAGAGGAGGAAGATAAAGACTAGGTAACATGTAACAGTCTTAGCCCTAACAGGATCTACCCACTTTCAGAACCATAGAGGCTTTAAAACTAAACTAGGGTAGTCCACCCGTATACATACATGCTGAATTCATTTCAATATACATTCGTTTTCCATTCAGTTCAGCTACTAAGTGTCATTTGTTTGCATAAGTAACCCCGTTGCTTGCTATCACCATGCCGGAAGTGTCATTTGACAAATAAAATACATGCTATTCGGGAACACTCCGAATTTCCGTAAATTAAAAAGATGATTTTTCAGTGTTGCAAGCAAAGTTCTGTAGCGGAGTATTCAGTGGCGGATTTACCGGGGGGGCACAGGGGGCACGTGCCCCCCCAGTCGAGGTCACCAAAAACATTTTCTCACATAGTTTTATTGCTACTGTATCTGCTTATCTAGATATCTAGATAGAAAATCAAGACACAGCTTGATTTTACTTCCTAAACTGGTCATTAATTAACCCCAGCTTCAACATGCGTGATTTATGACAAGTTATCGATGGGTGTGTAAATATTGACACCTTTGTGTAATGTCTATAATATCCAAAAGCATTTATGTAAACTACATGTACATGTACATGCTGGTTGGAATTAATACGAATATATTAACAGGATCAATATCGATTAACAAGTGAAATCTTCTTATCAGGAAAGAAATTACCAACTAAAATCGGTCTTAAAAGAATATGTAAAAATAGATGTTTAGTGTCAAGAAGGTTAGTATCGATATGAGATATACGTCTTTATTACCAAACACTCACATTGTATACGGTTTCTGGGGAATGTGTCTTTCTCAGGACAGTCTTTTTCGAACTTTATTAAACAACTGTTACAAACAATTTTTTCAATGCATACAGCATTTTTATTTAAACTCAAATGTCGTGTTTCTTTTCCTCATATTTTTTATGGAAACAATCGATTTGTCTTTAAAAAAACATCCCGTTCCACAAAACATGAATGGTCTGTGCCTGATATATAATCATCAATAAAATGATATTGTATTTTTGAAAACCTACTTATAGTACAGTAATATTTGTATATTTTTTCTTGTTTCAATTACCGTGTATGAGGGTATGAATAGGTTACCGTGAATAAGGGTATGTATAGGTTACCGTGAATGAGGGTATGAATGGTTTACCGTGAATGAGGGTATGAATGGGGTTTACAGATTAGAGAATACTAGTAATGGTCAAAAAGTAAAGACTAGAAAAAAAAATGGGCCCAAAAAATATAGAAAACAGATTAAGGGTGTTGAACTATAAAGAATAGAGGACATTATGCAGCAAATAAAAGAGTAGAAAGAAATGGACCCAAAATTAATTAAAAGATATAGAAATGAAGACCTGAACCCCCCCCCCCCCCCCACACACACACACACACGACCACCATCATCCCCAATACATGACACCACCACCATATATACATCTCTAAACAAATCTTTAAATTTGGTTTCATGGTGCCCCCCCAGACATCGAGGTTCTGGATCCGCCCCTGAGTATTGTATATTTACTGACTTGGGTCAAGTCTAGAAGGGTTGTGTTTAAAACAAAGAAAATTCCGTATTTTTGAGATTTACAAGTAATATCACCGTATTAAATATATTTGTGCGAAATACCACTTTTGGAATTCAGCTTCAAATCCTTGCACAGAGTAATAAATATTACTGACCAAAAAGTTTTGATCAAATTATGATATCAAATTCTGTTGTACTAAAATATTTGAGTTTTCGTTCGTGAAATTGTAGGAGTCGATTCAAACACGAAAATAGAACTAGCAAAGAAAATGACACTATATACAGGCTTGAACATCTTCTTCTTCTTCCGAATACGGGAGTAGACTCCTAGGTAGGAGTGTAAAACTTCCCGGAACAACACGAAAGGAAAGTTATAAAATTTGGTATTATAATTACCATGAAATATTTTTATTTGTGCTTTTGTTTTTATTTTTTAGAATGTTTTCATTCTTTTGCCGTTACCAATGTGCTCTTTGTGTTTAACTTATATGTTAAATGCTATGCTTTGATATTCAAGTGGTTTATGTTTTCCATATATGTATGCACATATATTGTATACAATGTAATCCATTTGAAAAATGAATCTAGAGTTTGTGTTTTGTAGCTTAATTGTTGAAAATTCACTTTAGTTGAATAGAACCTAAATGAAATAAGATTGAACTAAACAACTAAAATCAAGTTCTTTAAAACGTTTCCACTGCCAAAGATTTATGTTATCTTACTATACAAATCCTTGACAGTACATAAGTATTCAAATATAGTGTGAATACCTTTATCAAAATATTTTATTAAGTCAAACTGTTCTCAAACTGGATTAACTTCTTGAAAATAGAAAATAAGATGTAGTATGACTTCCAGTGAGACGACTATAGCAACTAAAGACCAAAGAATATCATCAACTTCAGTTCATCGTACGGGTTTTAACCTTTGGCTAGCGAAGATGTGAATGTCTCAATTCAGATTTCTTACAATAAATTAAGACGATTACTTTATCCTTGACCACGGCATGTGGTTTCTAGTTTCTTCATTGATTTAAAAGAAAAGACGATGGGGAAACTACAATAAAACTGAGTATTTTTTACAGTTGTACTTGCCATATAGTTGTTGATGCATTTGTTATCTCTGAAACAATTTAATTTTATATAACTCATTAAATAAGGCACCAGCATTTGATCTTAACTGGACCAACCTCGATATCTTCTGAAACACGTGTAACGTACATTGCCTTATCATATATACATATATGCGACCAATGAATGTATATTTAAACTGTAAGTATTTCTACCTGTCAACATTCAATACATTTTATTTACAAACAGCCTTTAGAATATATGAACAATTAACTCAAAGAGCGTATGGAATAACCTTCTAAAAAGACGGTCGTTTAAAATCTTTTGGGACCTTTTCAAGCATACCATGATTTATTTATTTAGTTTTCACTCATTGTAACGTTACTATTACATTTTGTTTGTTTTTTAATAGAAGTCTGAGGTCACGAAATTTTAATAAATTTGTCTCTTGAAAAGAAATATAATAACAATGCTGTTGGAAACAATTATTTAAAGCTACCATTATTGTTCAAAAATGAATTGAACTCGGAAATATTTTGTTTGATGTGAAGGAACTATCATGATTTATCAACAGATATACGGGAAAACGGACCACGATAAACTTACAAATGTATAAAAAGTTAGAAACGAACTTTGGTCTTACTTTAACTGTGAATCTGACTATACAAGCTAACTTCTTGCATTCCTGTGATGTAATATGATGTCTGTACATTAGTTGAAAATGACAAATAATTCAAATCATTCTAGACCTGGATTGCCCGACAGGATAGATAGATTATCAGACAGGGGAACAATTGTTAGAATAGATAGATTAACAGACAGAGGAACAAGTGGGAGAACAGAAACGACAGATACAACTTTAGTACTTCCAGAATATACACTGAATGGCAGACATGCTAATTTTGCTAGTCAACGTGAACTTGTGGAAACAGAGGACGATGAATTCACAGTACCAATACTTCCTATGGGATTAGCCGTTACCTGTGGTGTTCTTAACTTTATTTTACCTGGATTCGGTAAATATATCTTCATTTTTGCTTTTTAGTTAAACACAGTACCCTATTTTGATATTTTGATATATACTGGTATAATCTTGTATCCAAAACTATATTATAAATCTGTTGTAATTGACATGTACATCCATCGTGGATTAAGTAGAGAAGCTTACAAGGTACTTCTTACATCCGCATCTTATATATTTTACACAATAATCTTGCCCAAACACTATCAATGCTGTGTACAGAGATCCGTCGAAAATCAAATATAAGACTGTTATTGAAATTTATAGGTATATTCTCTGCATTTTCAGGGACTATTATAGCTGGACTATGTGCTCCTTGTTGTGCGAGATCTGAACTAGGAATAAAAGATTACAGTTGTGTGTCTGCTTGTGTTATTATAGGAGTAGGATTTCTTCAACTTCTCTTGACAGCTTGCTTTCTGATAGGTTGGGTATGGAGTGCAATATGGGGAATAGCATTGATAGGAACAGCATGTAAGTATAAAATATAACTCCATTGATAGGCATAATTATATACACATCGGAAGTTTTAAGTGTTTGAATATAAAAAAAGACAATTTGTTTTTAACGTGTAATATTTCTATTAAGTTCAATATGACATTTTCAATAGAAAGACTGATAGGCTTTTTATTTTTCATATACAAAGATTTTCGTCTTAATAGTAATGAAATAAATTAGCGATCAAGAATAACTGTACACCAAAAAGCTAATCTCAGCACAGGAATACCTCCATGATATTAACTTAAGTATATGAAGTTGATATGTGTTAATACGAGGTCAAACGTTTTTCAAAAATCCTTTTCATATGAATTCATTTGATTCATAATTATATGTTGTTCGGAAATAAAAGAAATAAAAGAATTTTGATGGGAAAAGTTTGATTTAATAGTTTTAAAGCTAAAGAATTCAATATTCTTTCAAATAAAAACAGCACATAGCCTTTGTACTCCGTGCTAGCGAAGTCGAATTGAGCCTTTGGAGTAAAAGCAAGACTTCCAAATTGGCACAATATTCATTTGCTGCGTATCACGTTAAAATTAAGAACCCTTGCAACAGCTCTTTAATGTGTCCATAGGCGGCCTGTTGCATAGCAAAATATCTGCTCCTTTCCAACATATTCCAGTGTCAGTCAAAATTTCCGCTCATCATCCCGCGTTAGACACACTTTGCAGAACTTATACATACTCTATTTATTTTTAATGTTATATCGTCATGAAAATGTTTGAAATATTTGTAACTGGGCGATAAGCAAACAACAGACAAGAATCATAACAATACATTGCTCTTTGGTCGAGTTGTTGTCTCTTTGACACATTCCCCATTTCCATTCTCAATTTTAAGACTTAATAAAAGGATGAAGAAGTTACTCAAGCAGAAGGGGTGTACTTACACGAGTAGGCGAATAAAACTTGACCTGTTGATTTAAAAAGAGCATTTCAATTTGAAATACCTAAGTAAACATTAGTCCCCTATGATAAAATATCGACCCTTTATGGTTTGTAGTCGCTTATCTGACATACGAATTGAATACAAGTATTTATTTTTCTCACGGTTTTTTGCTCTGACTTAAACTTTTTGACTCCCAGATACCAAGCATGTGCAAAAGATGCAATCAATCTGCAAAGAAGAAAAAACTGGATGTATAGAACCTGGTACATATAAAAACATGTTTCTTGGTTTAGATTGGACTGTCTTTTTTCTTTCCTTTTTTAACAAATGTAAGGTTTATTCTAATGTATATTACAATATGCTTTATTTTGTCTTCTGCAGCTGATTTTTCAAATTACAATCCGTTAGATCCAGAATCAACATACTGGCGTAATAGACCGTCATCAAACCGATCCCGGCGAAGTATCAGGCCTCGATCAAACTTCATCTATCCTATGAGAGCACCATCAAACGTGGACTATAATAGTCCTCCTCCTCCATACCAAATGTTCGGAACACCCCCACCTCGTTACGCATCTAGACCTTCATCCGAAAGATACAGAAGTACTACAGCATCACCATTAACAACAAGACGGCTAAATGAGGTGTCATCTGCAAGAACTGTAAGTTTGAAATAAACTTAACATGAATAGGCCTCTTATAAGGTATTTTTTATGATTATTGTGTTTTAGTTAATTGAATCGAAGAAACACAAACCTTTTAACCTTCTATCTATCCGGTTGAATTTAAATGTGGTTATTTTTATGCCCCACTTAGGGGCATTATGTTTTTCGGTCTGTGCGTCCGTTCGTCCGTCCGTCCGTCTGTCCCGCTTCAGATTAACGTTTTTGGTCAAGGTCGTTTTTGATGAAGTTGAAGTCCAATCAACTTGAAACTAAGTACACATGTTCCCTATGATATGATCTTTCTTAATTTTAATGCCAAATTAGAGTTTTGACCCCAATTTCACGGTCCACTGAACATAGAAAATGATAGTGCGAGTGGGGCATCCGTGTACTATGGACACATTCTTGTTTTTTATTCTTTTTAAATATAATTATAATAACAGAAACCGCAGAAAAATTTAGACAACACACCAACAATTTGCCCATGGCCAAGTAAAATCGATTGCCAAATTGATTTTTTGGCTGTGGTTAAGTAAGCAGCACATATTTGTCTACATATATTGAAGTGGGAGAGATAACATGAAACAAGTTGCAATATGAATATATCGATTCCCAGATTCTGAATTTTGGGTGGAATGGAGAAAAACGACCTTTTTTTATTACTTCCACCGGAAAAAAGCACGGTGTATTATATGGACTGTGGTAGATGGTAACTTAACACTTCTTCGTATTTTTATATGTATCGTATGGTCTTATAATCGCGAATAGAAACAGTCTCTTAGCGACATTTCTTTAACATTGCTACCATCGTGTGGATGTGGTTTACAGAATATACAATAATAGGCCAAAAAATAAATAATAGCAACAGTCTCTTAGCGATATTTCTGTAACATTGCTACCATCGTGTGGATGGGGTTTACAGAATAGACAATAATATACCAAAAAATAAAGAATAGAAACAGTCTCTTACCGATATTTCTGTAGCATTGCTACCATTGTGTGGATGGGGTTTACAGAATAGACAATAATAGGCCAAAAAATAAAGAATAGAAACAAATGTCAAACAAACAAAACTAGAGAATAAAGGGTGCAAAAGTATGAAGACTAGAGAATAAAGGGTGCAAAAGTATAAAGACTAGAGAATAATAGGCAAAAGTATAAAGACTAGAGAATAAAGGTGCAAAAGTATAAAGACTAGAGAATAAGGGTGCAAAAGTATAAAGACTAGAGAATAAAGGGTGCAAAAGTATAAAGACTAGAGAATAATAGGCAAAAGTATAAAGACTAGAGAATAAAGGTGCAAAAGTATAAAGACTAGAGAATAAAGGGTGCAAAAGTATAAAGACTAGAGAATAAAGGGTGCAAAAGTATAAAGACTAGAGAATAATAGGCAAAAGTATAAAGACTAGAGAATAAAGGGAGCAAAAGTATAAAGACTAGAGAATAAAGGGTGCAAAAGTATAAAGACTAGAGAACAATAGGCAAAAGTATAAAGACTAGAGAATAAAGGGTGCAAAAGTATAAAGACTTGAGAATAATAGGCAAAAGTATAAAGACTAGAGAATAAAGGGTGCAAAAGTATAAAGACTAGAGAATAAAGGGTGCAAAAGTATAAAGACTAGAGAATAATAGGCAAAAGTATAAAGACTAGAGAATAAAGGGTGCAAAAGTATAAAGACTAGAGAATAAAGGGTGCAAAAGTATAAAGACTAGAGAATAAAGGGTGCAAAAGTATAAAGACTAGAGAATAAAGGGAGCAAAAGTATAAAGACTAGAGAATAAAGGGTGCAAAAGTTTAAAGACTAGAGAATAAAGGGTGCAAAAGTATAAAGACTAGAGAATAAAGGGTGCAAAAGTATAAAGACTAGAGAATAATAGGCAAAAGTATAAAGACTAGAGAATAAAGGGTGCAAAAGTATAAAGACTAGAGAATAAAGGGTGCAAAAGTATAAAGACTAGAGAATAAAGGGAGCAAAAGTATAAAGACTAGAGAATAAAGGGAGCAAAGGTATAAAGACTAGAGAATAAAGGGTGCAAAAGTATAAAGACTAGAGAATAAAGGTGCAAAAGTATAAAGACTAGAGAATAAAGGGTGCAAAAGTATAAAGACTAGAGAATAAAGGGTGCAAAAGTATAAAGACTAGAGAATAATAGGCAAAAGTATAAAGACTAGAGAATAAAGGGAGCAAAAGTATAAAGACTAGAGAATAAAGGGTGCAAAAGTATAAAGACTAGAGAATAAAGGGAGCAAAAGTATAAAGACTAGAGAATAAAGGGAGCAAAGGTATAAAGACTAGAGAATAAAGGGTGCAAAAGTATAAAGACTAGAGAACAATAGGCAAAAGTATAAAGACTAGAGAATAAAGGGTGCAAAAGTATAAAGACTTGAGAATAATAGGCAAAAGTATAAAGACTAGAGAATAAAGGGTGCAAAAGTATAAAGACTAGAGAATAAAGGGTGCAAAAGTATAAAGACTAGAGAATAATAGGCAAAAGTATAAAGACTAGAGAATAAAGGGTGCAAAAGTATAAAGACTAGAGAATAAAGGGTGCAAAAGTATAAAGACTAGAGAATAAAGGGTGCAAAAGTATAAAGACTAGAGAATAAAGGGAGCAAAAGTATAAAGACTAGAGAATAAAGGGTGCAAAAGTTTAAAGACTAGAGAATAAAGGGTGCAAAAGTATAAAGACTAGAGAATAAAGGGTGCAAAAGTATAAAGACTAGAGAATAATAGGCAAAAGTATAAAGACTAGAGAATAAAGGGTGCAAAAGTATAAAGACTAGAGAATAAAGGGTGCAAAAGTATAAAGACTAGAGAATAAAGGGAGCAAAAGTATAAAGACTAGAGAATAAAGGGAGCAAAGGTATAAAGACTAGAGAATAAAGGGTGCAAAAGTATAAAGACTAGAGAATAAAGGTGCAAAAGTATAAAGACTAGAGAATAAAGGGTGCAAAAGTATAAAGACTAGAGAATAAAGGGTGCAAAAGTATAAAGACTAGAGAATAATAGGCAAAAGTATAAAGACTAGAGAATAAAGGGAGCAAAAGTATAAAGACTAGAGAATAAAGGGTGCAAAAGTATAAAGACTAGAGAACAATAGGCAAAAGTATAAAGACTAGAGAATAAAGGGTGCAAAAGTATAAAGACTTGAGAATAATAGGCAAAAGTATAAAGACTAGAGAATAAAGGGTGCAAAAGTATAAAGACTAGAGAATAATAGGCAAAAGTATAAAGACTAGAGAATAAAGGGTGCAAAAGTATAAAGACTAGAGAATAAAGGGTGCAAAAGTATAAAGACTAGAGAATAAAGGGTGCAAAAGTATAAAGACTAGAGAATAAAGGGAGCAAAAGTATAAAGACTAGAGAATAAAGGGTGCAAAAGTATAAAGACTGGAGAATAAAGGGTGCAAAAGTATAAAGACTAGAGAATAAAGGGTGCAAAAGTATAAAGACTAGAGAATAAAGGGTGCAAAAGTATAAAGACTAGAGAATAATAGGCAAAAGTATAAAGACTAGAGAATAAAGGGTGCAAAAGTATAAAGACTAGAGAATAAAGGGTGCAAAAGTATAAAGACTAGAGAATAAAGGGAGCAAAAGTATAAAGACTAGAGAATAAAGGGAGCAAAAGTATAAAGACTAGAGAATAAAGGGAGCAAAAGTATAAAGACTAGAGAATAAAGGGTGCAAAAGTATAAAGACTAGAGAATAAAGGGTGCAAAAGTATAAAGACTAGAGAATAAAGGGAGCAAAAGTATAAAGACTAGAGAATAAAGGTGCAAAAGTATAAAGACTAGAGAATAAAGGGTGCAAAAGTATAAAGACTAGAGAATAAAGGGTGCAAAAGTATAAAGACTAGAGAATAATAGGCAAAAGTATAAAGACTAGAGAATAAAGGGTGCAAAAGTATAAAGACTAGAGAATAAAGGGTGCAAAAGTATAAAGACTAAAGAATAAAGGGTGCAAAAGTATAAAGACTAGAGAATAAAGGTGCAAAAGTATAAAGACTAGAGAATAAAGGTGCAAAAGTATAAAGACTAGAGAATAAAGGGTGCAAAAGTATAAAGACTAGAGAATAAAGGGTGCAAAAGTATAAAGACTAGAGAATAATAGGCAAAAGTATAAAGACTATAGAATAAAGGGAGCAAAAGTATAAAGACTAGAAAATAAAGGGTGCAAAAGTATAAAGACTAGAGAACAATAGGCAAAAGTATAAAGACTAGAGAATAAAGGGTGCAAAAGTATAAAGACTTGAGAATAATAGGCAAAAGTATAAAGACTAGAGAATAAAGGGTGCAAAAGTATAAAGACTAGAGAATAAAGGGTGCAAAAGTATAAAGACTAGAGAATAATAGGCAAAAGTATAAAGACTAGAGAATAAAGGGTGCAAAAGTATAAAGACTAGAGAATAAAGGGTGCAAAAGTATAAAGACTAGAGAATAAAGGGTGCAAAAGTATAAAGACTAGAGAATAAAGGGAGCAAAAGTATAAAGACTAGAGAATAAAGGGTGCAAAAGTATAAAGACTAGAGAATAAAGGGTGCAAAAGTATAAAGACTAGAGAATAAAGGGTGCAAAAGTATAAAGACTAGAGAATAAAGGGTGCAAAAGTATAAAGACTAGAGAATAATAGGCAAAAGTATAAAGACTAGAGAATAAAGGGTGCAAAAGTATAAAGACTAGAGAATAAAGGGTGCAAAAGTATAAAGACTAGAGAATAAAGGGAGCAAAAGTATAAAGACTAGAGAATAAAGGGTGCAAAAGTATAAAGACTAGAGAATAAAGGGTGCAAAAGTATAAAGACTAGAGAATAAAGGGTGCAAAAGTATAAAGACTAGAGAATAAAGGGTGCAAAAGTATAAAGACTAGAGAATAAAGGGAGCAAAAGTATAAAGACTAGAGAATAATAGGCAAAAGTATAAAGACTAGAGAATAAAGGGTGCAAAAGTATAAAGACTAGAGAATAAAGGGTGCAAAAGTATAAAGACTAGAGAATAAAGGGTGCAAAAGTATAAAGACTAGAGAATAAAGGGTGTAAAAGTATAAAGACTAGAGAATAATAGGCAAAAGTATAAAGACTAGAGAATAAAGGGTGCAAAAGTATAAAGACTAGAGAATAATAGGCAAAAGTATAAAGACTAGAGAATAAAGGTGCAAAAGTATAAAGACTAGAGAATAAAGGGTGCAAAAGTATAAAGACTAGAGAATAAAGGGTGCAAAAGTATAAAGACTAGAGAATAAAGGGTGTAAAAGTATAAAGACTAGAGAATAAAGGGAGCAAAAGTATAAAGACTAGAGAATAAAGGGTGCAAAAGTTTAAAGACTAGAGAATAAAGGGTGCAAAAGTATAAAGACTAGAGAATAAAGGGTGCAAAAGTATAAAGACTAGAGAATAATAGGCAAAAGTATAAAGACTAGAGAATAAAGGGTGCAAAAGTATAAAGATTGAGAATAATAGGCAAAAGTATAAAGACTAGAGAATAAAGGGAGCAAAAGTATAAAGACTAGAGAATAAAGGGTGCAAAAGTATAAAGACTAGAGAACAATAGGCAAAAGTATAAAGACTAGAGAATAAAGGGTGCAAAAGTATAAAGACTTGAGAATAATAGGCAAAAGTATAAAGACTAGAGAATAAAGGGTGCAAAAGTATAAAGACTAGAGAACAATAGGCAAAAGTATAAAGACTAGAGAATAAAGGGTGCAAAAGTATAAAGACTTGAGAATAAGGGTGCAAAAGTATAAAGACTAGAGAATAAAGGGTGCAAAAGTATAAAGACTAGTCTAAGAGAATAAAGGGTGCAAAAGTATAAAGACTAGAGAATAATAGGCAAAAGTATAAAGACTAGAGAATAAAGGGAGCAAAAGTATAAAGACTAGAGAATAAAGGGTGCAAAAGTATAAAGACTAGAGAATAATAGGCAAAAGTATAAAGACTAGAGAATAAAGGGTGCAAAAGTATAAAGACTAGAGAATAATAGGCAAAAGTATAAAGACTAGAGAATAAAGGGTGCAAAAGTATAAAGACTAGAGAATAAAGGGTGCTAAAGTATAAAGACTAGAGAATAATGGGCAAAAGTATAAAGACTAGAGAATAAAGGGTGCAAAAGTATAAAGACTAGAGAATAAAGGGTGCAAAAGTATAAAGACTAGAGAATAAAGGGAGCAAAAGTATAAAGACTAGAGAATAAAGGTGCAAAAGTATAAAAACTAGAGAACAATAGGCAAAAGTATAAAGACTAGAGAATAAAGGGTGCAAAAGTATAAAGACTTGAGAATAATAGGCAAAAGTATAAAGACTAGAGAATAAAGGGTGCAAAAGTATAAAAACTAGAGAATAATAGGCAAAAAAATAAAGAAGAGAGAAAAATGACCTAACATTTAAAGAATACAGAAAGGAACGACTCCCAACCAGACCCACTCTTGAATGTGTACTATTAATTTATTAGTAGTTATAACTGCCATACCATCGTGAGATAGAATGCTCAAAACTTTTTCCAATAGCCTATACCCTTGCTGTTTGAGGATATATAAATTTTCCTTGTTTTAGTTCGAAGAGATTATCGGGCTGAAAGTACTTGCTTTATATGGAATTTGTTCGGGTAACAGCATACTTTACACATATGCTATTGATATCAACTGCATCTTTAACATCTTGGACTGATGTAAATGTATATGGCCAATTAACCTTGTTTAAAAGTAGCGTTTCTGTTGGTTCAAGGTTACAGTACTATGTGAAATAAGCCAAATAAAAAAAAACCCATTTCATAACCGTTTTGTCATACGTGTGTGACATTACAGATAAAATATGCTCTAAATTTTCTAAATTTCCCACGCTTCTGCATAATGAGAAACCGCAAATAGAAAATACATTTCTAAAATGATTGAAAATGGCGAGTAAAGGATAACCTTATAGAAACAATTCATATGCTTAAAGGCTATAAAAGGAATGCATTGCTATGGTATGAGTGCATGTTATATGTAAAAATAAGAAGACGTGGTATAATTGCCAATGAAACAACTCTCCACCAGAGACCAAATGACATAGAAATTAACAACTATAGGTCACCGTACGGCCTTCAACAACGAGCGAGACCTATATATAAATGGTTTGAAACACAAGTCCTAGAATAATTCAGACAGACAAAACATGTATATATTGGAGGTAACATGTAACTGTAAACATTCTTGTCCTCTGGTGGATAGTTGTCCCATTGGCAACCATACCTCGTCTCCTTATTTTTATATACCATATGTAATGTTGATATCACATAAGATTGTTTAATATACCCGTCTTATTCCCAATAACCGGACTTACCATTACATAGGAGATTTTGGCATCCTAAAAAGAAAAGAAAAAACAACTGATAACTTGAAAGGATCGCAGTGATTTTTTTTGTTGATTTTTTATAAGTTATGACAACATAACTTTCGTCAAACTGAATCAGATTGTAGTTTTGATGTTTTGAACTCCCGAACTGACTTAAATGTTTGTTTTTAATAGATGACAACGACACAAATAATGGAAGATTCTAGTGAAGTTATGTCTTGGGATTGTCCCCAGTGCAATAGAGTATATGAGGCTGATATTCGTAAAGTATGTTTATACTGAAAACAATTTAACAATTTTGTCGAAAATATATGTAAAACTTGGTCAAAGTTTCAAATAATAATCTTGTTATTCCTTCTGTGGCTGTATTTCACGTAAGCTGACGTAAACTGAATTACTATTACCACACCAGCAGTAAGAGTGTTACAAAAAACGTAAACAAAAATCCTACAAAAAATGCATCAGTTAATCTAAGATTGGCGAATGCTATGAACTAATCTCATTTAATGGGTGGTTCTTTTTAAGTATATACAGTTAAAGCAACTGCTCTCAATATGCTCAGTAGTCCTTCCTCACAATGATATTGGTTGTTTTGATACATATCAGAATAAGTTGTGTAAAATATATATTCTTCAAACAATTCCATAATAGCTGGTGCACAACTTCAACATGTGTTCAATCTTTCTGTGAAGTCGTCATGGTGGGTCTTGGTTGAAAACTTGTACCTCTGCCATAAATTTTGCTGAAAAATTACTGAGGTCCGAAGTCTGGAAAATGAGAAAACAGTCCTTAAACAATTTCATAACAGCAGTTGTACAACTTCAACAAATGTACAATCTTCCTATGAAGTTGCATGGACCTGGGTTGAAAACTATAGGCCGAGTAGTTGATAACACAAAACTTTTACCCTCATTCATAAATTTTGCTAAAAATTACTAGTTTCCAAGTCCGGAAAAATGAGCATAAATTCTTCAAACAATTCAATAATAGCAGGTCCACAACTTCAACATATGCGCAAACGTCCTGTGATGTTTCAGGAACTGGGTTTCAAACTGTGGGAGTTGATTACACAAATTAGGTACCAACTTTTCCCCTCTCAAATCCGCTCAACCCGGCCAAAAATCAAATAATCAGTTTGCATGTATATTGTTATTTTTTTTAAGTATTGCATACTATTTTACTTTTAACTAAGATCAATTAATCGAAATCCAAAATCACTTACCAAAAATCTTTTCAAATAACTAAACAAATAGAAAATTGTATTCCTGACTTGGTACAGGACTCTTTACGAAAACATAATATAATAATCATATATATATATATATATATAGGAACTTATATTACGAATCAAAACAACACAAAATACATTTGAAATTTGTTTCACAACGATCTTATGGAAATATAATTGGTCTAAGACAGGTCCATGATAAACGAAATAATTAAATCAACTGAAATCAAAGAAAATGATTCCTTTCTTTCAACAAAAGTTAATACTACAGATGCATAGCAACTTTTAGGCTGTTTCAATATTGAGTTAAACTCGAAGTAGTGTAAGTGTCCTCAACACGAAAACAATGTTAATTTTGATTAACAAAACATGACAATCTGATTCAAATTCCCGCGTCTTTTGCAGGTGTCGTCTAGCATATATATTAAAATAAATGTATAAACATATAAATTCGTCTTTTCCCGTTTTAGCATCTTTGTCGGCGTTGTTCAAGAGATGTTTGTGGAAGGTGTTATACTAAGGTATTGAGAACTCGTGCTGAAGACAGAGTAACCGTGTGTGATAAATGTTTTACAGAAATCTCACAGGATCCAAGGATGCAAAGAATCTGAAAAATTGAGAAACTAACATTTCAGTACTGCTGCTAGTCAGCGTTAATCAAAATAAGAAACTAATTCTAAAATAATAGCAATGAATTTAAGAATAGTATTTAAACTGTCTAGTCCGCTGGTTCGGATGTTCATGTGCAGTCGCAGTTCTTTTTATCAACTATATTACCTTATAAAATAAATAAATATTATTTGTTTGAAAACATTCTTTATTGGTACTCACAATTTCCAACCTGAAGTGATCTTGCATTATACTGACCGACGTTTAAAAGTGATCATCTCATCCTTTCATCGATCTTGAGATTAGATTTTCTCACTTTAATCATCATGAAATTTGTGACAAGCAGGACAACTTTTCATTTCCTATTGTCAGTTTTCCTTTCTTTTATGTTGATGAAGTGTATACATTTTTCAGTTGGATCGATGTGCACGCAATCGTAGTGACGAATCAGATTGAAATAACCACAAAATTGCCGTTGACAAATACATTCAAGGGGAAAACTTACGCAGCTACTTCGACGGCTGTTTTAATTCTATTAATGGCACAGAACTGTTAGCTCAGATCAGTGTATATACATGCGTATGTATTTTGTTGGTTTAACTGTTTAACCTTGATATATCGACCATGAATCTGACAGTTCTAATTTGTTTTTCCCCCTTTTAACCGTATAACAAATACTTCACTTCAAATTAACGAAGAAGAATGTTTTGAGACCTCATTGACAAACATTGGCTTACAGTTAATGTCATTTGTCAGCTTCCAAACTGACTGCTAGGACATTTTATTTTTACCTTCTCGACTATTTACAAACTAGATGTACCCCATACCTAATCACAAACTGATACATTGTCGACGCCGCTGCCGACGACGACGACGTCGCCAGAAACAGCACGCATAAGTCTGGCTTTTTTTACTTTGTCGATTCGAGTCAATAAAAATTTAGTTCAGGTGTATCATAATTTAAAGTGCAAATGTCCAATCAAAAAACGCAAACGTCCTGCGCCGGGACATTTGCGCTTTAAACTATGTTGCACCTGAACTAAATTGACCGGACATTTGCGCTCTATCTCTACCTATGATAGTTAATCGTAACCAAATTAAACAAAGTCATGGAAAGATATTCACATATCTTTTGAAAGTTCTTCTGAACAAACGACAAAATCAGAAAAGAATTATTCGGGTAAACGTTAGACAAAACGAAGTTTTTATGGATGGAACTTTAAATTTTGTCCTGAATTCCTCAATCAGCATTTATAATACAGTTCGTGGATTTAAAATTGGAAACTATATTATTTTGCGTGGATATTCCGTGAACTGTACCATCATGGCTTATCTAGTAAGCGTGTTTTAATTTGTGAAGACCGAAATTTGATTTTTTTAAACCACCTGCTATTCATGTTGTCTTTTAGAAAGAGTTATGGTTGATACAAGGAAATTATTACTTCCATTCCCCATCTTGAAGTGTTGTCGTTATCATCTGACACAAGCATGATGACCAAAACTGAAGTCTTTTGTGTTTTTGATATTAAAATTAATGATCTTTTAAACTTTTAACCATAATAAAACTCAAATGTTGTGTTGCTATTTAAAGCGCTAATGTCCTATTGAAAAAGGGCCAAATGTCCTTTTTTAAAAAGCGCAAATGTCCATTAAAAAAAGCACAAATGTCTATAAAAAAAGCGCAAATGTCGTTTCAAAAAGCAAAAACGTCCCGCGCCGCAGTAAAAGGTATGATTATATCATAACTATTTCTCAGGGAATAACAGCATAATTGCTTTAAAACTTTTTTAATAAACTTTTGTATATTGGATCCTGAATTTTAATTAGTTTATGGCTAGTATTTGTATTTGTCATATTTTTCATTATCAGACACCGTCCAACCTGGGAATAGTATACTGACAATATATTATGACCCGGGTCCGATTGAATGCATTAAGTTGCAGATTTTATCGTACATAAATATAAATAAGCAGATGTGGTATGAGTGCCAATGAGACAACTATCCATCCAAGTCACAATGTGTAAAAAGTAAACAATTATAGGGCAAAGTACGGCCTTCATCACGGAGCCTTGGCTCGCACCGAACAGCAAGCTATAAAAGCCCCCAAAATGACTAGTGTAAAACAATTCAAACAGGAAAACCAACGGTCTAATATTTATAAAAAACGAGAAACACTTATGAACCACACCAACAAACGACAACCACTGAACAACAGGCTCCTGACTTAGGACAGGTGCATAAAAATGCAGCGGGTTTAAACGTTTTAACAGGCGCCAACCTTCACCCTAACCTGAAACAGTGGTGTAACATTACAACATAAAAAGACACACAATAAAATATCAATTGAAATGGCTTAAATCTTTGTATCTATGAAAGAATTTAGTAAATGTTTTAAGTAATTTATGGTAACGAAGTCCTAGTTAAGTCGCACTGACTGTTCCAGACCACAATTATCCTCAAGTCCACTGACCTTTTTCAAGTATTGGTCTTCTCGAAGTATAATTTCTCTCTTTCTCCTTGATACGTGATATAAGAATATTTATTAATCCAATCAAGGGCCCTTGATGTGCAGCATGACATGTATACACACAAAACAATACATTGTGATTTGTAACAGAAAAACATTTTTTACATTGAAATGAAATATTAAAAGTTCACTTAGATGTTATCATGACAGAGCTACATATATATATTCATTTTATATAAATCATGTACATTTAATTCCAGGCACGACCAGAACCATAAAATCATTACAATAATCATCGTCATTATGTATATTAACTTACATTCGTCTAACATCTAGATATTTCCCTAAATATTTTAAGACAGACAAGTTTTCATTAGTAAATAACCAAACAAATTTTGCCTCATTTGAGCGATATGAAAAATTAGGACAAATACTGTTTATCTTCTTGAAAATATCTCCCTATCAACTTTGTATGCTGGACAACTAGTAATAAAATGTTGTTCATCTTCAACCAAATTAAGGGTACATTTCTTACAAAGCCTTTGATCTCTTTCTATATGTAAAGTTTTATACCTGTCTCTTTCTATTTTGAGATTATGGGCACTGATTCTGATTTTACATATGACACTTCTCAATTGAAAATTGTTTGAAGATAGATAAATTTCTTTATAAAAAACAAGTTTTTAGTTTGAAATAAGTATCTAATTTACTACTTTTTTTATCTGTTCTTTTTGTGTTCCAAATTTTTACAAAACTATTACAAAGTTTTTGCTTAACTGACTTGATAAAAAAGTTTAGCTTTACCTCCAAATTTTGAATATTCAGCTTTTTAAAAATGTAATTTATGGATGAATACCAGCATTCAATATTATTAGTAACCATGTTTTTGTAACACATATAGGTGTCATACAGTAAACTACTTTTCATATTTTTTTTATTATAAACCTGTATTTCAACATTGATAATACAACTGAAAAATATAAAGGGAATCTACCAAGTTCTCCTAACACAGCTAAGTTAGAAGACTTTTTGTTTACACCTAAAATATACTTCATATATCTTGAATTGGATTTATCTAAAAAAATCATTAATATAAATGTGCTGTACTAAATATTCACTTTCTTTCTGGCATGCTGCAGAGCTATTTTTAAACATACCTGTAATTTCACTGCCATACATTAAAATAGGTTTTATTGTACGGTCATATATATGTATAGAGTAGAAATACTTGGATTGGAAGATGATAAAGATCTTTGCAATTTGAATACTGTTACAGCTTTTAGTGATTTTTTGTATAATTCTTCCTTTCCTTGCTTAAAAAGTCCACTAGATATAAATTTTAAACCTAAATACTTATAACTGTTAAGACATTCTATAGTATCTTCCTCGAAATAGAAATATTCTTTTAAAAGTTTACAAGGTTTATTAAATATAATAACTTTGGTTTTAGATAGATTGACCTCTATAAACACCATTAAAATTTGGATAAACCATCAAGTCGTAACTTTGGTTTTAGATAGATTGACCTCTATAAACACCATTTAGTACAACATTTGTATAAACCATCAAGTCGTTGATATATTATCAATATGACTATTCCATTCCCCGTTGCTACTAGAGGTTACGCCGTAGAAGACAGTGTCTATGGGTGTATAGTAACTGGAATATTTGCTATTCTGTTGAATGCCTTTATTTTAGCTTAATTGACATAAAATGAAAATAGAAACAATTTCGTGTTGAATTCCGCCTTGAAGTTACATAGTCTTATCAATGCTAAGGGGTTACCCATTCATTTGATCTGAGAAGCCGGAGCAGGAGGATTTTGGAAATGAATATTTAGAGCCTTTCCTGGGCTGGCATTAATAACTAGAAAAATAACTGTTCCCAAGACTGTATGAAAATGAAGTCTACCTAATAAAATGCATCAATATATATGCAGGAAGAGTTGTGTACCTGTAAGCGTACTTTCATTCCGCCGTGTATTTATTCCGGGTAACTGTTTTTCACTAGAGAATATTGGATGTAAATAGTGTGAAAGCGTCGATCTTGATATCGATGTTTTGTTTATATTAGACCTGTTTATTGTTTACATAAATAAATGGGTTAAAATTAAAATAATTTTCAAGGAACCAGTTTAATTATTCTGAGTCAATCTAGTAAATAACATTGATGATGACGAGGAGGATATTTTTATAACTCAAAATACTTATAAATGATCAGGACATTGAACTTGATATACACCAAATTTAAAGGGGGGGGGGGGGGGGGGGCTAGGATGAAATTTGAAAAAAATAGGCAGGACAGGAGTTTTGAGTAAAAAAAAAGGCAGGATGAGATTATTTGCAAAAAAAAAGGCAGGATGACAATTTATGTAAAAAAAAAAGTCAGGAAAAACTAAAAAAAAAGGTAGGACCTTATAGAGTGAAAAATAAAAAGACAGGACCGAATAGAGGGAAAAATAAATAGGCAGTACAAATTTTTTATCCTAATATAAATATTTTTGTTGAGTTGTTCATATTTCCCGCTAGTTTTAACTTTAAAAAAATGTAAGTTACCTGTTACTAAAAATAACCAAATCAATAAAGCGTGATCAATTTTTACATGTTAGTGTATTAGTGTATTCAATACACATACACAGAAGTAAACAAAACAAGGAAAGAAAATGGGACTAGGAGAAGGTAGTGGTTGCAGGCCCAGGGCTAGGGCTAAGAAAGACAGGAAATATATTCCGGCAATGCCCATGCCCCTGGCAGTAATATGTTGTATATTAAATTTTCTAGTTCCAGGTATAGGTGAGTAATACAAATTATGTCATTCTGATTCATATTTTATGTGAAAGTGTCAACACGCATTGCATATGCACATTTATAGTAAAATTGAACGTATCGTGCATGTGGAATTTCATTCACTATCATTAGTAGTGTGAGGTATACATGTATTATTAAAGTGAGAGTCCAAATGACTTATATATATCTGGATATGAGCAACTAAAGGCCTATAGGTCACGTATATATGAATAGAGATGTCAATAGTCTAAATAATTTTGAATATTTATTACAAAACATTTACCCGGTATATCAATTATTTTTTAGATAAATACAATTCTAGGTTTGAAATGATAAGGTGTAAATAAAAAGTCCTCTAACTATAAAGCTGTTCTAGAAGAGCTTGGTAGAATCTCCTTATATTTTTCAGTTGTATTATCTTTGCTAAAATATTCCACTGAAATATTGGTTTAGAATATAAAAATATGGAACAAGGCTTACTGTCTGATACCTCCTATATTTTTAACAAAATATGTTTAATAGTAATATAGAATGCTGGTATTCATCTATATATATATATATGTTGTGTACAAGTTATTATTTTGTACAAATTATAATGTGTACAATAAAAACGTACAAATTATAATTTGTTTAAAAAGTTCTTGTACACATTATAATTTGTACAAAAAACTTAATTTCACTTATAACTTGTACAACAGTACTTAATATAGATAACTTTTATACGACCGCAAAAATTTTTTGCGGTCGTATATTGGTATGACATTGGCGTCGTCGTCCGAAGACACATTGGTTTTCGCACTCTAAACACTCTAAACAGTTAAGGAATAAGGGGGCCAAAAAGGGGCTAAAAATAAGCATTTTTGTAACTTCCAGACATAACTTGTGTGCTAGTGTATGAATCTCTCTGACATTGTACAACAAGGTTACATATCACACAGGGAATGCTGGGATTGATTTTGGGGGTAATTGCCTCAAAATATTAGGAATTAGGGGCCAAAAAAGGGGCAAAAAACAAGCATTTTTCTAGTTTAATGACAATAACTTGTGTGTAAGTGTATGGATCTTTCTGAAATTGTACTACAAAGTTCCATTTCATAAAGGGAATTGAGTTTGGGGGTAATTGTCTGAAACGTTTAGGAATGAGGGGCCAAAAAGGGGCCAAAAATAAGCATTTTTCTAGTTTCCAGACAATAACTTGTGTTCAAGTTGTATGGACCTCTCTGAAATTGTACTGCAAGGTACCATACCACAAATTGAAGGCTGTGATTGATTTTGGGGGTAATTGCTTCAAAATTTTAGGAATTAGGGGCCAAAAAAGGGGCAAAAAACAAGCATTTTTCTTGTTTTAGGACAATAACTTGTGTGTAAGTGTATGGATCTTTATGAAAGTGTACTACAAGGTTCCATATCACAAAGGGAAAGCTGGGTTTGAGTTTGGGGGTAATTGTCTTAAACGTTTAGGAATTTGGGGCCAAAAAGGGGCCAAAAACAAGCATTTTTCTAGTTTCCAGACAATAACTTGTGTTCAAGTGTATGAATCTCTCTGAAATTGTACTGCAGGTACCATACCACAAAGGGAAGGCTGGGATTGAGTTTGGGGGTGATGAGTCATAAGGGGGTTCAAAAAATTGGGGGGGGGGGGATTTTTTTTTCTTTAAAATTTTCCATTTTGAATTGGTTATTTCTGATTTATATATAAAAGCAAATAATAATGATATGGTTTGAATAGGTAAATTAAAAAATTTTAAGTTCTTAGACCACATTTATTCTGTGTTAGAAACCTGTGCTGTGTCAAATATTTAATCACAATCCGAATTCAGTGCTGTATCAAGCTTGAATGTTGTGTCTATACTTGCCCCAACTGTTCAGGGTTCGACCTCTGCGGTCGTATCAAGCTGCGCCAAGCGGAGCATTTTATTTACAGTAATTAATATAGATCATTTTTTACAGTAATTAATATAGATATTTTTTTTCAATATGCTTAGCAGACAAATAAATGGGAAAATATGAACTTTAAACAATTTACCGCATATTTATCAATGTGAGATTTAAAACTTTAAAACAACAAAATTGTTAAAGATTTTTAGGAATTTAACTTTTTAAGAAAGACAACCGAGCCCATTCATGTAAAACCAATGCAATTTTTAAAGTCATATTGATTCATTTATATTGCATTGAGGTTAAAATTGAACTCCTGTTCTCTGGTCTTTCGAATGGTCATTTGCAATAGATAAAGTTATAGTGTTCAATAAAATGGCCAGTATTGTTGATCAACATTTTAAATCAGCAATTTGCTTAGAATAACACATCAAAGCACAACCATCTTTATACTAAGGAAAAATTGCATAAAAATAACAAAGAACTCAAAAAGTATTTTGCAAACGTTTCTGTATCTGTATCGTTACGTCGAAGGTACCAATTCTGGCTTTAACTCGACGGGAGAGAGAGCGCCTATTGACGGTGTTAGAGAGCTGTTTTGAAGCTCTCAACTGACTTGGCGCACACTATGTCTTCTTCCAGTTGGTTCCAATGAATCACGGTCTTAACGAAGAATGAGTTCTTAAATTGCTCAGTTTTGCAGTTTGTTTGTTCAATTGCCTTTGAATTGTTCTTAACCGAGTTGTTTACTATGTTAGTACTTTCAAAGTCTACAAAGCGTTTCGGTTTGATAATCCTTTTGGTTTTGCTCTTTACCAAAAATTCGTCAGGTTTGATAGCTGGGACCAAACCCTCAACCACTTTGTACAGAAATACCAGCCTTTGGCTTGTTCTTCTGAACTGCAGGTTAGCCGAGAAGCAATACGCATATTTACAACCAACTGTGAACAGTGTATCCTGAAACGAAAACGTACTGAAATATCAAAACTTGTTGTTAAACCTATAATTTCTGCTGACTTCAACTGTAGAGAGCAGGTTGACCTTGTAGACCTTCAATCTGTCCCCGACAATGAATTTAAGTGGATAATGCACTATCAAGATCACCTGACCAAATTTAGTGTTCTTAGAGCTCTGAAATCTAAGAGAGCTGCTGGAGTTGCTGATCAATTAAGTACTTGACAATTTTCTTCTATTTGGTGCACCACATATCCTCCAAAGCGATAATGAGAGAGAGTTCACCAGGCATGGGGTAATGCTAATTTGTAATTGTAATGCCCTGTAATGCATTACATTTCCCCAAGTAACGCATGTAATGTGTAATGCTAAATTTTTTTGCTTTACATGTAATTGTACACCTGACAAAAACAACTAATTAGTTTTTATACGACCGCAAAAAAATTTTTGTGGTCGTATATTGGTATGACGTTGGCGTCGTCGTCGTCGTCGTCGTCGTCGTCGTCTGGCGTCGTCCGGCGTCGTCCGAAGACACATTGGTTTTCGCACTCTAACTTTAGTTTAAGTGAATGGATCTCTATGAAATTTTACCACAAGGTTCAATACCACAAAAGAAAGGTTGGGATTGATTTTTGGGGTTATGGTACAAACAGTAAAGGAATTAGGGGCCAAAAAGGGGCCAAAAATAAGCATTTTTGTAACTTCCAGACATAACTTGTGTGTTAGTGTATGGATCTCTCTGACATTGTACCACAAGGTTCCATATCACAAAAGGAATGCTGGGATTGATTTTGGGGGTAATTGCCTCAAAATTTTAGGAATTAGGGGCCAAAAAAGGGGCAAAAAACAAGCATTTTTCTAGTTTCATGACAATAACTTGTGTGTAAGTCTATGGATCTTTCTGAAATTGTACTACAAGGTTCCATATCACAAAGGGAAAGCTGGAATTGAGTTTTGGGGTAATTGCCGAAACCTTTTAGGAATTGGGGGCCAAAAAGGGGCCAAAAATAAGCATTTTTCTAGTTTCCAGACAATAACTTGTGTTCAAGTGTATGGATCTCTCTGAAATTGTACTGCAAGGTACCATACCACATAGGGAAGGCTGGGATTGATGATGGGGGTAATTGCCTCAATATTTTAGGAATTAGGGGCCAAAAAGGGGCAAAAAACAAGCATTTTTTCTAGTTTCAGGACAATAACTTGTGTGTAAGTGTATGGATCTTTCTGAAATTGTACTACAAGGTTCCATATCACAAAGGCAAAGCTGGGTTTGAGTTTGGGGGTAATTTCCCTAAACGTTTAGGAATTTGGGGCCAAAAAGGGGCCAAAAAACACATTTTTCTAGTTTCCAGACAATTACTTGTGTTCAAGTGTATGGATCTCTCTGAAATTGTACTGCAAGGTACCATACCACAAAGGGAAGGCTGGGATTGAGTTTGGGGGTGATGAATCATAAGGGGGTTCAAAAAATTTGGGGGGGGGGGGGGGTATCCTTTTTTTTCTTTTTTTCCTTTTTTTTTCTTTTAAAATTTTCCATTTTATGTTGTTTATTTCTGATTTATATTTAAAAGCAAATAATAATGATATGGTAGGAGATACACACCAAACAGGATGTGTAAATTATTATATAATTAGTATTGTGCAATAGCAAGAAATTTTCAATTGCACAGTATTGCACAATAGCAAGAAATATTCAATTGCACAGTATTGCGCAATAGCAAGAAATCTTCAATTGCACAGTAGCAAGAAATATCCAATAGCACAATATTGCGCAATAGCAAGAAATTGTCAATTGTACAGTATTGCACAATAGCAAGAAATATTTAATTGCACAGTATTGTGCAAAAGAAGATACTTCTTATAAATTGCTTATTTCTTGACCAATTTCAATGGGGTTTTATTCTTGAATTCTTGGGGTTCTTTAATATTCTGAATCTAACCGTGTATTTAGTTTTTGGATTTTGGGCCCCGTTTTTAAATTGGTCCACATTGAGGTCCAAAGGGTCCAAAATTAAACTTTGTTTGATTTCATCAAAAATTGAATTATTGGGGTTCTTTGATATGCCGAATCTAACCGTGTATTTAGATTCTTAATTTTTGGTTCTGTTTTCAAATTGGTCTACATTAAGGTCCAAAGGGTCCAAAATTAAACTTAGTTTGATTTTAACAAAAAT